CAACAAAATCGTAATCTCAATTGTTGCTAAATAACAATACGAATGGGCGTATGGGAATCAAGTGCAAAGACTTTGAACTTGTACCCAGCCAAGAACAGAGCAACGGAGAGATTCCTCTGGGGGGGGGAAGCTTCATGGTTGATCGACTCGGCTGACTCTGTTCCACGATCTGAGGGCAATCCCCATTGGAGGCCGCAAAGTAACCTCGTATTTTACTTTTAATAGCTGATTAGTGGCACCGCAAAAAACTGGATTGCGGCAGACAACGAATGGGATAAACCCAACAATCTGTTTTCGGACTCGTCCTCCCATAATATTACCTTTCCCCGACATTAATGTAGTTCATTATGGCAATCCTTATGGTCTAGATCTTATCAGACGTTCGGGTTAAGGTTTTCCATCCCCCTTCGTTAACTCTCAAATCTTATCATTTGCGGCTATGTATATCTTTCGGCCATAGCCCCCCGGTGTCTGTGTTTTTTTTTCTGGAATTTTTTGTATCTGAAAGCAAGCAATTCCATAAAGATTTCTTTTAATCAAAGTAAAGTGCGCTCAATTGACTCTCATAAATTCCCCCACTATGGCTAGGTATTGTATTTAAAATAGTTTCACTTTTTAGTGAATTTAATAAGGAAATCTCTTGTTAAGGTTTTTGCGCTGTGTGTGGTTCGGTTCTCTGATCTCTGATGATGGTTGATGTGGATGTACATACATATGTACATATATGTGGGGGCGTGTGTGAACAGCATTTATAGAGTTATATTGTCACATTTATCGCTCTACAAGCCGTCAATCAAGCATTTTGTCCCAAGTATTTATAGTCCTCGGGCAGGGACCCTATTGACCGATTCACAATGCACTCAATCAATAAATCGAAACCGTCATCGAGCCTGCACATAAATACTTCAAATGTTAGCAGAAACCCATATCTGGAACGACTTGGCTGGGGTTCTGATATGGAAATCTATTGGTTCGATGGGTGTCATAAAGCGATTTGCCAGCCGAAATACAATGCGAATGACATAACTCCGATAAGACGTGACCGAGATAAACCCGGTTAACGGATACCCCCCTGTGGGGGAACTCGTACTCGTACTTTAGTTCTAATATTGCTTCATGGTTTTCGCTCCCTGATAAGAGCTCGCCCACACACGCACACATCTCCATTCCTTTCTTCTAGCTTCTCTGGCAGTCTGAACGAAAACAATTTGATCGATGGTTGAAGACATCTGTTCGGATATTTTGCAATCTTAGTTTCATTTAACGATATAAATTAAAGAATATATAATTTTAAGCCATTGGAATATTAATATTAAGTTGTGTGGCATATAGTCAAAAAAAAAAATAAAAAAATAAACAAGTGCTGGGAAAATTCCAGCGCAAAAAAAAAGTAAATATTAACATTAATAATATTTATTTAGCACTTTAACACATTTCGGGTTCGATTTAAGCTTCGCATCACTCCACTGGCTCTACAGTTTTAGAGTTACTGTTTGAGTGCTACAGTTTCAGATTAATTGTAACCAGTTTGAATGTAGGAACAAAAAGCTTGCAATAAATGAAACTTTGGCAGTATTAAGCTTTTGACTGAAAGCAAATAAATTCAAAGGGAAAGCTCTGCTTAATATACTAACGAATAAGAATAAATAAATATATAAAAACTACAAACCACAATTACAAAACACCATGAATAGATTCAAATTTCAATTTAAATTCAAATACATTTTTAAATAGACGAATTTTTATTATTTAAGCCCAGTATTACCACAGAAAAAAGGACAAAAAATAAATTATGATAACTTAGCCCAAATTAATTTGAGGAAGAACAAATTTTACATTTAAAATTTATTTAATTTATTGCCTTGTATATTTTGCAGGAGACTTCAATTTCCTTCCCTTGAAATCCGTGAGCTTTAAGTGTAAGTATAAAATATACATAAATCGTCTTTATGAATAATTAAGAAAAATATTAAAGCGTAATATATTTGTAATTGTTTTAATACTGACCCAGAATTGTAAACATTTTTTTGGGATATTCTATAAATTTCTTTTTCGAGGGAAATCTTCGAAAATTTCATTAACTTGACGAACAATTGCATGCCTTGTTTTATTTTTCCTCTAACCAAGGACATGCCGCCCACATGGCGCACATACAAATGTATCTAGAGATACGTTCACCTTGAGGTTGCCTTATTGATTTTTGGGCAATCCATTTACTTGTGAAATTTGTGGCTGACTGACTGGCTGACTGGCTGGTATTCATCAGCTTTATGTTGGCCCTGTCACAAGTTCAAATGTAGGTCGTAGATCAAGAATGAAACGATGATGGTGTGTGGCGATGGTTGGGTCAGCAGAAATATTTGCTAGGTGCACTTGAACTGAGAACTGAACGAGAGAATCGCGTGATTTATGTGCAAGCAAAGTAACTGCATAAATACGAAAGAAAGCATTTAGATACACACGCGTACATGCATGTATGTATCTACAGCCATGCAAATACATACATACAAATGTATCCACATGTTTATGTACTCTGTTCTGCGTTTGTTTCTGATTGGTGGAGATTTGGGGCTTGGCTTTTGTGACGTCACGCGCACAGCACACGCCCCTCTAAATGCCACAGAGTAGCTGTATCTGACAGATACAGACCGTTGCGTGACGTAGCCGCTGACGTAGGTCAAACAAAAATCAGAGACTATGTCAACCTGGGGGTTGACAGCCCAATGCTTTTGGGCTTGCTGTTACGTAAGGGGCAGGCCAGGCCCAATGCCGGCATTTCATCATTGCTGAGTTTTTGAGGTGTTTTAGCCCTTTGCCCGCCCTTGGCTTGCCGTTACCATAATTAATATACATACACGCTGGTACACACAGGCATACATACACACAGTTGTGGATTGCGTGTAGATACAGATACAGAGATACATTTGTGTACATGAAAATGTGTGTTCTCGCAGCAGGTGAGCATGCTTTTAGGCGCCGCTGTGCGCCTGATCCCAGCATGAAGCGTGCCAAATGTTTGGTTGAATTCCAAGTCTTGGCTTGGCTGCGTTCTCATGCTGAAAGGAGAGCCGGATACAAGGGGTGGTGGTGGTGGTGTGAAAAGTATCTACACGGGTTACAACCGCGGCGGCTCTTGTCCAACTACGAGCATGTGCAAGACTTTGGGGGGTAATTTCTGTAGATGAAGGATATTATTAGAAATATTAATATGATGAAATGTTCCTAAAATGGCCAGGGTCTTAGTTTATTTATTTACTTTTATTGATTTGAGACCTGCGTAATATTTTTGTCTAGAAAAAAATTTATTTATTTATTAATTATTACAGTTATCGAATTTCCGCCCATTCATTGTCTACTTTCCAAATTGTCAAAACTAATTTTTCATCAAACTTCTATTCATATCGAAAACAAACGAATATTTTCATTACCTGACGCACTTACCCCAACAATATTCAATAGGTAGAGGGAAGCCTCATTGCACTGTCATGTTTATTCATAGGAAAAATAAATAAAAAACCGAAAAGCAGAAAAATACGTACTTCATTGAGACGCAGAGACCGTAGATAGGAAGCATAATAAATTGCTCTTGAGGGTCTTTCGAACAACATGTCTTGCCAGCTAACGAGCACACGTGATCCAAATATGTAGAACCATCGAATATACGAGCTGTATGCGTTTGCATAGCTAATCAAACAATGCCAGGGCAAATGGTATTGAAAATGATAATGGAAATTCATTTCACAGAGATACAAGTACGTGTAGCTATAGCTGCACACATGCACGACTACGTCTGTATCCAAATTCAAATCTTAATCTGAAGAGGGGAAAGCAGTGCGATTGTTTTGCAGTTCTGTATCTGTATCTGCATCTTAATCAATGCCGTCAATAGTATATGCAACGTGCGGATCCTTCTCCATGGCTATGCGATCCAATAAACAAATTGATTGAATTGTTAATCTTTTCATCATGAAATGAATGGCGGTGGCTATACAATTGCTGTGATACATGAATACACTCAAAGAAAAAAGCCCTAAAATTGTAATATATACACTCCAAGAATGGGAATTGTAAAAGAGAAAGTGGTACATTTTAACATTAATTTAAAACTATTTGAATAGTATATTTCAGACTTTAAATGAATATTTTATTTTTAGAAATAATAAATATTTTGATTTAAATATGTTTAAAAGATATAATATTTATGTGAATTTGTATATGTGTGTGTTTGTTTCGACTGTTGCATTTTTATTTATTTATTTATAAGATGAACTCTACAGTACAATTAATGATTATAGCCAGTGCAACAAGGAATTCAGGCAGTATTCCATTTTTTTATTGAGTATATATATTTTAAGTATATCTTGAACTCTAAAGAGAGTTTTTCCCCGGCTTTTCCAACATTTTGCATAGTTCGAGTTGGAGAAAATTTAGAGCAGATTCAGAGATCAATTGCAGGATCCATAAATTTGCATTGCCTTTATTATAAATAAAGTCCCCCGAATTAGTAAAAGCGACAACATGCTGCAAAAAACGAAGGCGTAAGGCAGGAGATGTCTTCCATGTGTTACTCAAACCATTCACTGCAACCAGTCGCCTGCCTGCACTCTACAACCGAACGCCAGAGAACCGAATAAGAAGAAATCAAAATGAAAATAAAAAAAAAACACTGAGTGGATTTAAATTCCAGTTTGAGAGTCAATAGCCTCTCGCCAGCGTCATCGTCGTCGTAGTACGCTACCCTACCCCAAGACCATAGCCATGGCAGACCAGCCATGCGGCATAGACGTTGAAAGAGAGACCGGGACCAGTTCTCGCAGAGAAAGAGAGCAGCGAGAAACAGACAGAGAGAGAGTGAAAGATGGAGAAAGAGAGAGGAGAACGAGTCCAGAGCCCGGCGGAGGCCTTTTTTTATTGCTTGGCGCGCCATTTGCTAGCCATCATTCGTTGCGTACGGATTGAAGATACAAAGATACGCGGATACCCGATTACTTGTGCTGCTGCTGCCGCCTCCACCAAAGATACGCGACTCGAAAATTGTTAAAATTTCGAACACTCTTCATATCCAAAATATAAACATATCACGAAAAATTCCTAACATATCGGAGTAACATATATTTTCGGTGAAAGACCCAAAAAGAAATTTTTGATTTTTTTTTTTGGACAGCAACATGTTATGTGGTTGAGTGCGCATGCGCCCAAAAGTATTCTCTATGCTACGTGGGTGGCCCCAGCGATAAAGGACAAAAGTCTCCGATAAAGGACATACATATTTACATATCCAGACGTTTCAGTGCTCGTATTATTCAACCAATTTTGCGGCGCAGTGCCCTAAAGTGCAGTGTGTGTGAAAAAGTGCAAGAAAATCGAAAAGAAAGGAAACGAAAAGCTTCCACATATCAGTGAGGACAACATATCCCTACATATCCAAAACCCAACCGCAGTTTACATAATCCCTTGAAGATGTCAACAGCCTCATCGAGCAACTCCAGTGCTGGGGCAGAGGAGGCCCCAAGGAAGCCTGGCAGCAGCAACGAGGAGAGCTCCCACCTGCTGGAGGCCGCCGAGAACGGTGCCAAATATGGCTCACGCCAAGCGGTAAAAATCATCAAGGCCAATGACAATGGCTCCACCACACCCCATGTAGGCAACACACAAAAAGATACTACTCGTATTTCATAGATACACTTCCTGGTGATGGTTATAATACCCAAGGTTAAAGGTTAAAATTAAGCCTAATTCGGGTTTGACCTTGGCCAAAACAAAGCAAAAGTCCAAGTAACGCAGTGAGAAATTAATCAAAAAGTTCAGCTACCCTTCCACTATATTTTCTTCAATCAGATTCCGCTTCCAGGAGATGAAGTTAGCTTGTATATGCCCGGAAGCCTATGAGCTTATCGCAGATGCCCTGCCTGAGTTAGGGTACCAAAAATGCTCAATGTTTTTCCAGAGCAAACAATCTGAACTGTTTGTAAAGTAAACGCCAGGTCTGAAAGCAAAATTATGTTGCCGCAGGAAAAAAGAGAAATACAAGATATAAATAGTTCAACAAGCAATTATCAGCAGTTTATTTCTTTCCACACAATACAGTTATCTACATTTGCGTATAGGAATATGTTAACAGTTATGAAAAATGTCATGAACCAGATACACAATATTTTCATTTTTTTCCAACATTAAAAAAAAAAAAGATACATGAAAAATCGCAGCCCAAAATGATAGATCATCGAACTTATCAACCTTAACGAGCCCCATTGGGCCATGGGGCACAAGTTGAAAACTTTCTATTTTTATGCTCCATGTTGTACAAGGTCATTAGCGAACAGAAAGAGAAAAGAACACAGACAAAGACAATTCCCATAGAAATTCTGCCAACAGAAACAACAAAATATGATGATAAGAAAAAGGGGGCGTAAAGTAAAAATAAACCTATTCCCCCGAGAAGGGGAGTAGAGTAAAATTATGTATTTATAATAATACTAAATATGATATGATATGGATGTGTCATTCATGGATGCTCATCATTCATTGTAGTATCGGTCCAAATCGTTCCAATGAGCGCACAAAATTAGTCAGAAAATGTTAATGGAATTTACTAAAAGTAAATAAAACGTTGAACCATCGAAAGAGTTGTACCATAACACAAATTTGGGACTCTGCCGTAATCCCAGATACGATCGCCGAATTGTGATCAGCATTTGAATAGATTTTGAAACTGGATCAACAGAAGTCGAAAAACCAACCGACAACACACAGCATTGGAATAACAATGAAATAACCCAATTTCTGGCAATATAAAACATGATTTTTATGGCTTTATTTTATCCATAAAACTGTAGTCACTTTCATTTATTCAAATTATACATTGAGGTATTATACAAAAAAAGGGACATATGTATCTTTCATTTAAAATCAGAGAGAAATGGTATAGTAAAAGGAAAACCAGCCTTAAATATTCGGGTTTTAATTACAAAAATATGGAAAATATCTGAAGTTTTTTTTACCAGCATTTAACAGTGTGAATATTACATTTTTACATTTTAGGGACAAAGAAAAGTTGCCTTGCCTTGCAGTAAATTTAAAAAAAATGCGAGTCTCAGAGATACTTTTACACTTTTCCTGCTGTAAGCCAAAGGTTCAGAAGTTGTATATAAAGTTGTAAGACCCCAGGAATATCCGAATGGGAATTCTTCAAAATGCAAATGCAAATTATATTGTTTATGGGCCGGGAGTATTTTAAATCAGGTTGGACGAGAGCTAGTTAAATGTTTATGAAGTAGAATTTTGCGTGGAATTTCTTTATGCTTTATTAATTTTGTGAACCAGTTTAATGGAATGCCACTGTTTGCATACATATGAAGCGCACTGTTGCGCCCCGCTGGCCACTGCCACTGACATTGAAACGAACTTGGACTTGGCTTTGTCGCTGACACTTGCTCTCCTCCTTCTTCTAGGAAAGCGAGGAGGAGCTGCTGTTCAGAGGAAGAGAGGCAGGCAGGGTCGTCGCCCACTTAGGGACGCCCAACGAGTTCCTACTCGAGAGCTTCGTTAGCTACTTAATCTAAATTTAGATGCAGAATGCCTGGGCAGGGGATTGAAGAGACCACATTAGCCACAGACGGAACAGGCGGATAAAAGCCAAGAGCAGCCAGAACCAAGCAGAGCAGCGCAGAGCACAGAGTCGTCGAGAGGCGCATATCGATTTCAGTGGGCTATGGCTTTAACGCTTCGTTTACTTTTAACTGTCAGTCTGTGGCAGTCTGGCAGCAGGCCGGAGGTGTGTCCCGACACCAAGTAAATATGTGGGCGTCGTTCCACCATACCCCTGCCACGGCTCTTTGCTTGCATTTCACGGAAGTGATTTGTTCCCGGGCTCTCTGGCTGTGGGCAGAGATTGGGATACACAGGGAACAGTTCAAGAGTGGGCGGCGAGGCAGCAGCAACGGCGAGAAAAACGCCCATAAATTACACATGTGCGCCTTGCAAAATGAACGGGGAAACATTTAAGAGTTCTCCACAAAGAGTTTTCTTTGTAATATTTTCTGGGAATATTTTCATTTCATTTAAATGATTTTCTCCTAAGCATTGGCAAATGTTAAGCTCATTAAATATACCGAATCATAGATCAGAGAGCCTCAACTGCATTCTTATACAGAGCGATCCATGCAAATGCCATACCATAATATCGTACATATCTGAAGTTCCTGCTCACTGTACTAAGCCTAGTAAAAAAAGCGGAATCTAAGGCAATTATTGATTGTTTGGGGGGTGGGCGATAACCTCAACTTATATACCGATTATAGAAGAATTTATGGCCTAATGAACGGAAGTCAATGAGCCATATTACCACCCTTGGTGGTAGCACACTAAATATATACCTATATACATCCAAATGACCATTTTTAATCGCTACTAGCCATGGGTGTAGCTTGGAAGAGTATAGGGGGTTTTTACTATACATAAAGCCATTAGCAAATTAAAGTTTACCTTTTTTTTAATGAAAGATTACACCAAAAAAAATTAATCAAATCGAAAGTGCATCTAATCATAATTCGATGCTGATATAGAAATTGTTACTCAATTGGAATCTGAGGGAGAGGAGAATTTACTTATCTGATATGGCTTTTTATTAATTCCCATGCTAATAATTATTAAAATTTCAATTGATCAAGTAGCTTTCAAGATTCAAGTGATTTAGGCTTGGGTAATATGTAGAAGTTTATTGGACCCAGAGTTGCCAAATTAACAATAATTGATAAAATTATGTACGGGCCATTCGGTGACCACGTGCCAGCTTTGATTTAAAATTTTTCCATGGGCCGCTGTGGGGTCTTAACCAATTTTTTAACCATTCCTGAGCCTGTCAGTCCGATCGATATTCAAGCGTAAAGCCCAGTATACGGGTCGCGACTTCTGTTTATGTGATCGGCATAATGAAATAATGAAGCACTTGACAGCGACCACAATCGTGTGAGAGCATAGCCATGGCAATAGTCCGTCCGAATGGTTATTTGTATGGAGGAGAGTCATAAATATAGGTGCATAAATGGAATGCCCACTATCGGGTACCCACTGGGTACCACTCCCCCCGTTGTGTAGCGCCAATAAAGGTCCTAATCTCTGGGCTGGGGGTAGTAGAAAGAGACGAGAGACCTTATCATGGCTTATGGACGGAATGATTTGATATGAGTATTACCTGGTACCTGTACCTGTACCTATACCTGGTACCTGGTACCTATAGTTAAAGCAGCCGCTAATAGCAGGCATTCAGTTAATTTAAGTCGCTCAAAGAGGCACGATTCACTTACATTTGACACGCTTCTCTTTGTCCGCAGGATCAGGAGAATCTACTCGGCAACATGGTGCACGCCTCCACCGAGAACAAGTCCAGGAAGCTGCCACAGTATGTGGCCGCTTTGGCAGCAGCTGGCGGTGCCTTTGCCGCCGGTACCGTACTGGGCTGGACATCGCCCGCCCAACCGGAAATCGTGGTCAATGGCGAGGGCTATGACTTCCCCGTCAGCGCCACCCAATTCTCGTGGGTGGGCTCCAGCATGAATCTGGGCGCTGCCTTTGTGTGCATACCGATTGGCTTCCTCATCAGTATGATTGGACGCAAGCTGACAATGCTGTTGTTGGTCCTGCCATTCCTGGTCGGCTGGGCCATGCTCATTTGGGCCCCATCTGTGGGCTTCCTGTATGCCTCACGCTTCATTCTGGGTCTGGCCGGCGGTGCCTTCTGTGTGACAGCTCCGATGTATACGGGCGAGATTGCCCAAAAGGATATACGCGGCACGCTTGGCAGCTTCTTTCAGCTGATGATCACCATTGGCATACTGTTCGTCTATGCCGTGGGCGCCGGTGTCAATGTCTTCTGGCTGAGCGTCATTTGTGGCATAATACCCATCGTTTTTGGCGTCATATTCTTCTTCATGCCGGAATCACCCACATATTTGGTAAGATAAACAAAACACGGTTCATTGAATGCCCTGCACGATTTGGAGATACCATTTTGAGTGGATTTTGTAGCTTCAATCAGCAAGTCAATCGGCTATCTGAAGTTAACGAAGTGTCCAAAAGATATGGGAATTTCCAAGCAAAACAAACGATAACATTACATACATACATACAGATACATACGAAATTCAGTCTTATCAAGTGGAATCTAAGAATCTATCCCCGTCAATCAACAGGTGGCAAAAGGTCGTTCGGAAAGCGCCGTCAAGTCCATTCAGTGGCTGCGTGGCAAGGAATACGACTACGCACCAGAGTTGGAGGAGCTGCATGAGACCGATAGGGAGATACGCGAGAATAAGGTGAACGTTTTGGCAGCCCTCAATCGACCGGTGACCCGCAAGGCATTGGCCATCAGTCTGGGCCTGATGTTCTTCCAGCAGCTGTGCGGCATTAATGCCGTCATCTTCTACTCTTCAAAGATCTTTCTGGTGGGTAGAGACTGCCAAGCAGAGTACGGATCGAGTGGTAACTAATTGTGTTCTCTTTCTCTTTGTGTTGACAGGATGCCAACACCGGCATTGGCTCTGAATGGGCCACAATCATGATTGGCATTATGCAGGTGGTGGCCACCTTTGTCTCCACTTTGGTGGTGGACAAGCTGGGACGTCGCATCCTGCTGCTGGCCTCCGGTTCTGTGATGGCCCTCTCCACCACCGCCATTGGCGTGTACTTCTTTCTGCAGGATCAGGATGCGAGCAAGGTTGAGACTCTGGGCTGGCTGCCAGTGGCCAGCCTCTGCATTTTCATTCTGATGTTCTCCATTGGCTACGGCCCGGTGCCATGGCTGATGATGGGCGAGCTGTTTGCCACCGATATCAAGGGATTTGCCGGCTCCATTGCTGGCACCACCAACTGGCTGCTGGCCTTTGTGGTCACCAAGACATTCGATGATTTGAACAGTGTTCTGGGCAATGGCGGCACATTTTGGCTCTTCGCTGGCCTCACCGTGATCGGGGTCTTCTTTGTCTTCTTTGCCGTGCCCGAGACAAAGGGCAAGAGTCTGAATGAGATCCAACAGGAGTTGGCTGGCAACAGGACCACCATCGCCACCACTCAGGCGATGAATGGAGCGGAAAAGTAAAGCGGATGTCGAACCGCCCCAAAATCACTGTTAACTTTGCTGTTATTTTATGTTTGATTTAGGTTCGCGTTTTCAAATTGATGTTTAGAATTTTGTTTGTAGAATTGACTGCAGATCGATGGAGGGAATCAGAGATACGAGATAGAGAGTTAGAGAGTTGCAGCCATAAACTGAAACTAAGAGCGAAGACTGAAGGTCCACTGCATCATACATATACGAGCTGCCAGAGAGACAGAGAGAGCGGTTAAGTCCTTTTCTTCCTTGGCAGCCACAGAAAAGACAACAGCAATTTAAGAAAAAAAAAACAAGACATATTATCTATGTATATTATATTGTATGTATAGTGTGTATTGTATGCCTATTTAGCATTATATTGCATTCTTTTAAAAAAAAACACACAAATTTAATGAATTTTCCGTACGATTTTAAGTCAGAATTCGCCTTTGTTCGGGTTTTAATCAAAAGTGTTTCTATTTTACAATATATATATACATGTATATGTGTATGTGTCTACGAGTATGTACTATATATATCTACAGCTGTCCATGTCTGTTACTTCGAGAAGCATTCAGTCGATTCTGATTTACTTAGCATATCCTCCCTTTAAGTTGTAAACTAAGCCACGCCTTTTGCCACATTTATTTATTTACGCCCGATGCGAAATATGTTTATATATATTTTATTAAATAAAACCATATAAATATACATATATACATTTTTTTATAATTTTAAATACAATAGCCTGAATGGTTTCCTTTCCTGAAAGCTGAAAAGCCGCTCGGTCTATCATTGTTAAACGTGCATATATAGTATTTATGGTTAAACTAACTAACGATTAAAGTGAGATAAATAGTGTATCTATATATTCAATATATGATGTTGTAAATAATCGTCTTCGGTTGTTTTATTCGATTTTGCATTCCACTGTTGATCATCCTGGACAGCGGTTGTTGAATCACCATTGGCATTCAGGGTCGGCTTTCTCCGCCATGCGAGTATCTTTATTGCATCCAAGACGCTGCCGTGAAACCGCAGCTTCATGCTTCAGGCTGCAGTCTGTTAAAGGACTCCTGGAGCCGCTGCATGCGACCCAGCAAGTTGGTTAATCGCCTCTGATAGTCTTGCAGTTTCATTTCGTTACTCGTAGGATCGTTGGCCATTACTTTGGTGTTTTTTTACTCACACAACTTTTTAATTTGGATTCACATACAAAATGTATTTTATTCTGATGTTTTTATACCCGGTACTCAGTTAGTATACCCGATCATAGCATTACCCGATGTCTATCTGTACGTCTTGGCAGATTTCTCCCCTCTCTATTCCAAAGGGGTGTGAGAATACGAATATTTTGCCCGTATTTTCCCAAATAAAACCAAAAAAGGTTTATAAATATATGTATCTTTAGATTAGAATTTGTTTGCCAAGCAGGTTACAGGTGTAGGTATATCTAATCCATATAAAATATATAGCAAATATATAATGTAACAAGAGCTATAATTAAATTACAACTATGATTATCCATCATCCACACTAGCCATACAATTAAACAGAAAGTAATATACTCTCAGTTCTGTGCCTATTACAGGAGATATTGCCCAGGATGTGCCGCTAAAAGAATTTATCCCGATCAAAATAAACGATGCGCAGCAGACCGTGCTCGGCGCCAACAGCCACCCAACTGTGCGCCGGGCGGTTCCAATTGCAGCGCACGGTGTTCAAACGCGTCATGGCCAAAAGCTCGTAGGGTTTGGGCAGTCGCTTCGGATCGATGTAGGCATTCTTCTGCGACTTGGTCACCCCAGCCAATGGCTTGACGTTCAAGCCAAAATCACGTAGAAAGTCGTCGGTAGTTATGGTTGTGTCGGGAGCAGAGGTTGTGGAGTCCGTGTTCAGATTGCACAGATTACTGCTGGACACGGCGCGACATTTGTTCAACATCTTCAGCAGTATGGGCTCCGCGTTGAGCTCTCGGGCATTGAGGAACACCAGATCCCCATTGTCGGTGCCCACCACTTGGATATTGTCCCACACATTGAAGTGCAAGGCGCGCGCAGAGCTAACCGTATAGTCCAGCGTTTTATTGTTAAATAAGATGCCCGTTGGGCTGAGCGATATCAAGCGCGAGTAGACTGCAAGAAATTGAAACTTAAAGAACGGAATAAATTGAAAAAAAGGGAAGGCAGCCTTACAGCGTCGCTGAACATCACTGCAGCCAACGACTAGCGTTTCCCAGATGGGTGGCCAGCTGGCATTGGCCAAATACAGATTGGCGATAGAGTCTTCGTTTATGGGCAGCGGCTGCGTCCAGTTGATAATATCATAGATCCACAATTTACGCGTTGATGTACCAATTGCCAGCCAACGTGGTCCATTCGTGTCATAATGAAGCTCCAGAGCTGATAAAGAGCCAAACAACCTCATTGCCAATCAGTAAATCTTTGTCACAGCAGCTGAACTTACTCTGGATATTATGCTCGCCAAAGTAGAAATAATGCAAGGGCACAAAATGTAGATGACCGTTCCGTTTGAAGCAATTGATGCCCTGCTCATCCGAAATATCCCAAAAGGCAACGTTGCCACTGGCATAGCCAGTCACCAGGAGATTGTGACTAGAGCCCTACAAATTATATTATACATCGAATCATCATTAGTTAAGTAGTTCTGATCTGATTAGAGCTCAAAAACTCTCTAAAAACTCACCTCAGACCAACAGATTTTAGTACACTGATCCTTTACAGGATTCTGCATATCCAAGGTGAGTGTAAGCGTTGACTGTAGTTCAATAGCCGCATTTCCAGTTGCCTCATCTTCCAGTTCCAGGGGCAGGGCATAGATCTTCACTTCGCTTGACGAACTAGCCACCGCCAGCAGACCCAATCGATTTGCCGACTTGTCATACCCGCCGCTGGGCATAAATGCAAACCAATGCACGGGTCCATTGGGCACACGTATCGCATAGTGCAGGCATGTCTCCAGGGGCCACACTCCTTGCTGCTTCCTGTTCTCTGGTAGCGTGCACTTGAGCAGCATTAACAGGGCATCCGTCTGCTTCTGCGGCATGTGCCTCGCATGGGCCAGCATCTGTTTGCGGAAGGAGCACAGCAGATATTGCTCGGCGACCGTTGGCGGCAGGGGTGCCCAGGCGAGCTGCTTGATGGGTGCCCCCAAATAGCCAATGTGCTCATCTATCCAAAGGATTTCATTAATTGAATGTCTTCCTCTCTCTCTGTAGTCTGTGGAGATGACTTACCGGCTGTCTGGAAGCTCTCTAGCGGTGCCAGCTGCCGCCAATTGTTTGCCGTTTTAACATCCCCATACGCATAGCGCATGGATCTGTTATCCTTGGCAGGCAACAACGCACTGGCCTCCGCTGACGAGAGCCTGGCATAGCCAGGCTTAACCTGTGGATACAAGGCCTCTGCAGCATAGTTTGTTTCGGTGCTTAAAAGGTAGGTAAAAGAATATATAATTAATATAGAAATAATATTCGTAGATGTGAAATACTCACAATTGATTCCACTTTTGTTGCACCTTTTCCTTCAGCTTAGCATAGCGGGAGTACACTGTAATGAGGGACATAAAATGGCATAAATTGAATGCAACATTTAATGAATTTAATGCTTACATGACTGACAGTTAGTGCCTCCCGTTTGCTTGTCACTCCTCATACTGTTCCCGTCCAACTTCTTGCGTTTGATCCGCTTAATCTGCTTCGATCTGGGCGTATCACTGGGGCCGATGTCTTCCTCTGTCTGCGCAGCATCCTCATTGGAATCGACCACCTCCGAATCGTATTCCTCCGAGGACTCGTTGTCCTGGTTCATATCGTAGTCTGATGAATCGCCTTCAAAGTCGCCTTTCCGATTGGCACTCGAACTTACTTCCTCCGCCTCAATTTTCTTTAATTTATTTTCGGCTCTGAAAAATTGCATTTATGCATTTAAAAGTGAAATAAAATGATTTTGTTCGTTGTCTTACTTGATGGTAGACTTGCGCTTGGCATAGCCCGCATTCGTGTACACTGGACCCGTAGTTTCCGCTACGGTGGCTGCCTCTGTTGTGTTCCCGTTCTTCGGCTGCAGGCCGGCAGGCCGCTTCCTACACGTTTTCTCATGTGTGGGATGATAGAGCTTCGTGTAGCTGCGCTTGCAGTGCTGACACTCCAGCCGATCGTTGCTGCCACAAGTCTCCAGATGCATCAGCATGCCCAGGCCAGAGCCCAGCTGGCGAGCGCAAAGGCGACACTCCAAATGCTTCGCATGCCCCTGCTTAAGGTAAGCAATCATCATGCCGATCACACTTTGGCGCGTGAGAGTCGGCGGTTCTTTGCCCGTGAGCCAACCCACGCCGTAATGCTGCCTCAGGTGTGATTGCCACATGTCCTTGGTGCTGCGTGCCAGGCACAGGCCACATTGGAGGGGTCCCTTTCCCTTAACCTCCTCGTAAAGCTCTTCGTTGGTGTCCAACTGTTCCCGCTTACGGATGAGCAGCAAACGCTTGATCCAATCAACATTACTGAACGGCGAGGGACTGCTTTCGGTTGTTTTAGCAGCCTGAACCGGTGCAGTAGTCTCTGCCTCTGTCTCTGGTTTATCCTCCTTCTCCTGCTGCTGCTGCTGCTGCTCGATCATGGTACGTTGCCGACAGGCTTGCTCATGCAAGCGGAGATAGAGCTTTGTGTAGCCGCGCTTACAGTACTGACATTCCGGCCGATCGTTGTCCCCGCACGATTCCAGGTGCGTCAACATGCCCAGGCCAGAGCCCAACTGACGATCACACAGGCGACAGGTCAAATGTGTGGAGTGTCCATCCTTGAGGTAGCCTTTCATCATGTTCAGAACAGCTTGCCGTGAAAGAGTCTACAAAAAACGAAATCAAAACATAGCCACAATCGGAATATATCTGCATATATGTAGCCTTACCTGTTGCGGCTCTTGTTCTGTGAGCAGCCAACCCACTCCATAGTGCTGCTTCAGATGATTGTTCCAGTTGGCCTTGGTGCTGCGGCCCAGACACAGACCACATTGGAGGGGTCCCTGTCCCTTGCCCTTGCCCTGCTCATGGAGATCCTCGTTGGTGTCCAGCTGTTCCCGTTTTCGTATGAGCAACAGACGCATTTGGAAGGCATCTTTTGTCTTTGGTGTGGTCTCCACATTAGTTTCTACATCCTGCTCCTCGGCATTTAAATTCTTTGCTTGCTTGGCACGCCCTCTTTTCCTCGTTGGCGTTACCTCTGCTGCCTCCTCCTCTAGTTGCAGTTTGTTTAGCGTTTCAGGCGTTGACGTTGCTGTTGCTGTTGGAGTTGCTTCAGTCACAGCCGCTACACTTTTCCTGCCTCTCTTGGCTGGCACTTTGGCTATTGTTGTGGGCGAACTGAGTCTCGCTTTTCGCTTGCGAGTGGAGCTCACAGCCGCAGACTGGGGCTGATCATCTTCCGCTGGAATAGCTTGAGGTAGGACTGGGACTGACTCGGTTGAACGACTCCTAGATGTGCGCTTTCTTTTGCCACAGGACGACATGTCTGCTTCATTTGGTACATCTGATGTATTGCCCTCTTCTCTTAGCTCCATTTGATCGGAGTTTTCTGTATGATTAGCCTTAGTGGTTACCCTTTTTGGTCTGCCTCGTGGCTTACGCTTGCCTTTTGCCTTTACCGTTGGTTCTTCTGGTGGTTCTTCAGGTGGTTCTTCTGGTAGTTCTTCTGGTGGTTCTTCTGGTAGTTCTTCTGGTAGTTCTTCTGGTAGTTCTTCTGGTAGTTCTTCGATCCTGGTAGTCTCCTCTAAATCTGTTTCTATCTGGTTGGTTTTAGACTCATGGGAATCCTTTTCGTTTGGTTTATTTTCATTTAATTTGCTTTTACTTTCGTGTGTCGAGGAGTCCTTTGTAACTGTCACAGATTCAGGCTCCATTGCAGCTATTTCTGTAGTTTCGCTGACGTTTGGTGTGTCCGTTCGGGCCACATTCTGTGGCGGTGGCAGTTCCTTTATAGATGAGCCTTCCTTTCTAGGACTAGTGGCCTTCGCTGGTGTCTGGGTATCTAGTGGAACAGTCATGTCCAAGTCTTCTTCTGTACAAATTTCATCTGTAGGTTTACATTTTTTTAAATCTTCTGCGCATATTTCCACCACTTCCATGGAATAAAGTGTTTCAATCTGCATGGGACTAGCATCGGCTTCACTGTCTGTGTGTTCCGCCTGCTTTAGGGCCGTTTTTGATCCACTTAAAAGTGTTTGATCTTCATTGGAGGATTTCTTTTGGTTCTCCTGTTGTTGCTCCTCCTCCGTCTCGTCATAGTCGGGCGTGGCATCATCACTGATATCCGTTTCGTTCAACCTCATTTGCTTTTGCTTTCCTCGCTTGAGGGTCGGCTCCTTGTCGACAGGTTGCTCCTCTTCTTTGTTATCAAAGCCCAGGAACACGGATCCATCATCATCACTGGTGCTGGAAGTGGCCATGCGACCTCCTGCTCCTGATCCTGCTCCACCGCTTACACTAACGTGATGGCTAGCTGCAATGGAACCGAGCCGTGGGGTTCTTTTGTTGAGCGCAGGTCGTGTCTTGACTAGTTTCTTGCGGGGCGTGGGAGCAGGGATGGGTGAAACCCTCTTGAGCTGTGGCATTATCTTCTCTGCTGACAAGTGGCTCATTAGATTGTCGATTCCTGTGGATACACTGGCCTGGGACTGGGTCTCAGGCTGCGACTGCTTGCGGAATGGTAGCAGCGCTTCGCCCTGTGCTGCTGGTGGCTCCTGATTGAGGACATCCAATAGAAGGGACACATTGCTGCTGCTGTTGCTGCTGCTGCTGCTCGTTGTGGCCGGTTCTGATTGATCTTCTCCGTTTTTCGCTAATTTAATTGATTTATTCTTTGGCATTTTGGGTGGATGATAGAGTTGGTTTAGATCACGTTCTGTTGAGGGCTTTGGTGGCATGTCCTCTTGTGGTTCCAGCTCCTGTGCTCCTTTCTTGACTAGTATCTCTTCGGGGTCTTCTCTTGTGCTCTTGTGTTCTTCATTGATGGTTTCTCTGACTACTGCTGCTTCTTCTTGTTCTTCTTCTTCTACTGCACTCTCCCCCACATCTGCATCTGCATGGACCTGCAGATTTTTTTCAACACTAGATAAATGAAGGTTTACTTTGTCTTTAGCTGTTAGGCCATCATCCACTTGTTTAATTACCTTAACTTCTCTCCTTCTTCCATAACTATCCTCGAGGAAACTCTGATCCAATATCGGCTCGTTCTCCTCTTCCTGCTCCACATTGAGCCTAACCCTTTTTGCATCGCTTAGCTCGTGGTCAGGCAGCGCCTCTATTGTTTGGGGTGGATTTACTCGTTTCGAGCGTTGGACTAAATTTACTTTTCCCTTCTTAAACCTTGGTGCCCGCTTGGCTGGCGGTGGCTTATCCTCCATTTCCCTGCTGGGTGCCGCAACTGGAGCTGAGTTTGACTGGAAAAGAGGCCCACTATCCGCCATCTGTGGATCTGTGGCTTCCTCAGGCATTCCTGCTTCATTGTTGGACGTTTCTTTGACTGTTTTCTCTGCTTTTCCTCCTTCATTTTCGGACATTTCCCTGGCTGTTTCTTTGGCCATTCCTTCTTCATTTTTGGAGTTTTCCCTGGCTGTTATTAATGCTTCGTCTTTAGAAATTTCCTTGGCAGTTTCCTCCGTCCTTTCTGCCTCATTATTAGACATTTCACTGGCTGTTTTCTCTGCTATTTCAGCTGGAACTGCTTCCTGCTGGATCAGCTCCTGCAGCTGACTTTCCTCCGTTAAAATGAGCCTCATGTTGGCTTCTGATTGGTTCCTGCGTGCCACCACGCTATTCTGCAGCTTTATGGCATTCGGACTGAACCGCAGGACACTCTCCCTATCCTCATTCACATCCAATGTGGCGTGCAGTATATCCATTTCCTCCAGCTTCAATATCTTTCCAATTGGCAACTCTTCTTCGGGTTCATGGGCCTCTGGCCTTTGCACTGCTGGTGGCTCCTCCTCCTCCTCGTCCGTGGGCTGCATGCTGCCTCCTCTTGAGCCAAAGAGAGCACTCATCATTTGCTCTTCTGGCGATAGTTCTATGAAGCTGCTCTCATCCAGCGGATTGTCAGCGGTCAGTTGGGCTATAAAGTCCACAGCGGAGAGAACTTTTGGAGCAGGAGACGGAGACGGCACGGGAGATGGAGATGGGGACGGGGATGAAAATGAACTGACAAGAATGGGACTGATTTCTTCTGGGCTTACGGGCGCTTTGATTGGGGAAACTGAGGCCGGAGCTGGCTGCTTTTCCACCTGCTTCACCTGACTGTGTATCTCTTTGGCCATCTCGGCTAGCTTCTCCCGTGACACCTTCAGTTTGTTGGCATTCAGAATCACCTTGGTCTTGGCAGCCCTAGATGAGCTGGGACCGGCATAAGTCTGCACCTGGCGGGCCATCACTGGCACTGGCTTCCCCTGGGGCGGACTGGAGGCCTGTGGAATCGTAGAAGTGCTGGGCAGACGTAGATCATTCAAATCGATCTTCTCCTCGGGCGCCAGGACCTTGTTCTCCAGCACAATCAGCGGCGGCGATGGTGCCTTGTGGATTAGTGGCGCCACTGGCTGTGGCTGTGGCTGGGGCACAGGCTGCTGCTGCTGTTCCTGCTGTCTGCACAACTGCTGCATGCTGGGTCCGCACAAGGCTCGGTGCTTGGGCAACTGATTCACCAGATTCAGCAGCAACGGCGGCTGCTTCGACCGCACCGTCACATCCGCCTTGGCTATGGGCGACATAAACACATTTGTCGTGGCAGAGCATGATGACGCCGCCTTTGGTGCTGTCATTGTGGCTGCGGATGACTTCGGGTGGTTCAGCGTGCCCTTGTTCAGTATCCGGTTCTTGATCAGTGCCTTCACATGCTGCGATCGCTCGGCCAAAATTTCCTCAGGTATCACTTTTTCGATGTAGTTCGAGATGTTGGATCGCTTTTTTCTGATTGGTGGAGCTGTTAATGGAAAGATTTTAGATATATTTATCTGGAAAATAAACAATTTATAATGTTTAAGATTTAATTGAATAACTCCACAGTGTACAAGGTCAATCTAGTCATGTCCAGATAGATCTTTCGAAATTAAGTTGTTGGATCACCACAGCTATGATCATTTAACTTCGAGGATATATAATTTTCTTGAAATAATCTTTACCCAACGGAATGGGGGAGGGCAGACAATGAGAAAAATATTAAACACACAGTTCTATCTCTCTCTTTTGCTCTCACTCTGAACGGAACATCATCCATGCTGGGTTTTGAACCGGAGCCAAAAATAATTAAAGTCTCGTTCTGGCTCTCGCACAGATGCGCTGCTGGAACAAGTCCCAAACCTCATTTGCACTGCACTCTAACAAGCTATGCCATTGAAAGTATCTAGATAAATGTGTCCAGAGTGTCAGTTGACAGCTTTATCCATAGAATGTGTTCAAACAAAAAATGAGGAATTGATTTAATCTATGTATATAATTATTATCCTTTGGTATAAAACTCTTGAGTACAGTGCTCAGGTACACAGGCATGTAGAGATCATGCAGAATGGGGAAAAATTATAATATCTTTAGGGCAGAGCATGATTAAATTAAATTATACAACAAGAAATATAATTTCATCATGCATCAGACTAGACGAGAGAGCAATGAAAGAGCGAGGGAAGTGAATAATACAATAACAAATACACGCACATGATTGCAGGTAAAAGCTCTCATTTTTTGCCACCCACTGCTACTCCATCACACTATTACACACTAACACATAGACAGACCATGCTGGGTCTTGAACCCAGGCCAAAAAACAAGCCGTCTCCCGCGTGTCGTGTGTCCTAGTCCCTAACCTCAATTGGACAGCACTCTAACCGGCTATGCCATCGAAAGTATCTAAATTGAGACATCCAAAGTTTTACTTGAGGGGAGTTCTAAAAGAGGAGATTCAAAAAAAAAATTTAATTCAACCTAGCAATTCAGCGCCAATAAATCATTAGTCAATTTTTTTTAATAATTTACTAATTAATATATCAGTATTTCTATGTTTAATTATCTACAGCCCTACGATGTCTCTATTCTATTCTACATATCTTTGACAAATATAACCTCCAAGATTTTAAATCAAATAAGTTTGAAGCGCTTTTGGTATTGCTGTACCCCTTGGAACATGTACTAAAATCTAGCTATTTATTTAAGAACCATTTAATCTGTACATACCACATGTATTATGTGCTTGATGATGATACAGTAATTCTAAGCTTAAACTTCCTTGTGTGTAACAAGGAAAGAAAGTTTCCAAAAAAAAAAGAGAGGAACCAATTTTCAGCCATGATCCTTTTCGAACCCTCACACTCTTGAGAATAATGTCAGCTCCCCGCACTAATTGCGGCGTCACCTCAAGCAGCAGCGCCACGGATGGAGAATTCTGCAGTGCGTCCCAAACCGAGATACGAGTAGATTATTTTTCATACGAATGTTAAAAATCATTCGATGCGACTAACGGGTTTTCAAGAATGCAAAGTCGAGAGTTCCAGGGAAATTTTCTTTTACCTGATTTTGGTTTTTGTTCAATTGAGGCTGCGGCGGCAGCACTGGTCATCGCCACTGACTGCGCAGATGTTGTTGCAGCAGTGGTAGCAGGAACAGAAAAAGGGGTAGATGTGGACATAGCTGTTAGACTTTGCTTTCGCAATGCTTCCGCCAGCTTTATGTCCAAGCCGGCCTGTTTAAGTTTCTTGAAATCCAAAGGTATTCTGTTGATAATACGCTTGGGCGGAGGTGCACTTCCGACGACTGGCGACTGCGACGGCGGCGTCGGCAGCGACAGAAATTTGTTGCTGCCACTCGCATGGTTAGAATCGGCCATGTTCGACGCTGGACCCAAACCCGGGTCATTCATTTTCAAAAAGACACTCAAGACACAACACTTGCACTGCTGTATTACTTTTCAATTGGCTGTTGAGGCGTATTTTCGCAACAACACAAAATTCTTACACCAGCGGAATGTGCACGCCTATCGCGGACACTAGAGGGCACTATCGATAGTATCCATATTTTACTGCTCGCCTCTACTATCGACGGTTTTGCTACTATCATGATAGTATCGAGCTACAGTCGTTGCGCTTTTGATATGTTTGGATTGGCTGCTACAAAATACGAAGACACAATTGTAAACAAATCGACAGGTGGCATCTAATTTTTACAATGGTCAAGTTCCTAAAAGGTTTCAATGGTTTTTTAATAATTATTCGAGCCCGATACTATTACGATAGTATCGATTGTGTTTTTCAAAACATTCAACGTTGATATTCCGTTTAATATTACAAATAATTTTATCCGATACATACATACATTTTCTACAAGATTGTCAAGTTTTCAGAAGTCCTTTTTATTGCATTATTTACATGTTAAGGTTCAAACAAAAGCAACATAAAACGAATGTGACGTCGTTGTTTGTGGCGCTGCCACCTTGATATTTTGCTAACCGTTTCATTACCGATTCGCTTTAAACCGATCTGGCAGCCCTAAAAACAAAAAGAAGAAGATACATTTTAACTGTTACCGAACACTGGAGCCGTTTCAGTTCGCTTACCAACACTGCTGTTCTGTACACCAACAACAACAATTTTCCGTGGCTTCGAAGAAAGCGTTTTTCCGGTTTTCGTGTTAAAATAACTTAAAATATGGACTTTCAAAATCGAGCCGGTGGCAAAACCGGCAGCGGTGGCGTTGCCTCCTGGTCGGAGACAAACCGCGACCGCAAGGAGCGCCTGCGGCAGCTGGCCCTCGAGACCATCGACCTGAACAAGGATCCCTACTTTATGAAGAACCACCTGGGCTCGTACGAGTGCAAACTGTGCCTGACGCTGCACAACAACGAGGGCAGCTACCTGGCCCACACGCAGGGCAAGAAGCATCAGGAGAATCTGGCACGTCGCGCCGCCAAAGAGGCCAAGGAGGCGCCATCCTCGCTGCTGGCACCGGAAAAGCCGCGCGTCGAGCCCAAGAAGTTTGTAAAAATCGGTCGACCCGGCTATCGGGTCACCAAGCAGCGTGAGCCGAGCAATGGCCAGCAGTCGCTGCTCTTCCAGATCGACTATCCCGAGATAACGGAGGCCATTGTGCCCCGCCACCGCTTCATGTCCGCCTACGAGCAGAAGATCGAGCCCCCAGACCGCAAGTGGCAGTATCTGCTGTTTGCCGCCGAGCCCTACGAGACGATTGGCTTCAAGGTGCCGTCACGCGAAGTGGAGAAGAGCGAGGGCAAGTTCTGGACGCACTGGAACCGCGACACCAAACAGTTCTTCCTGCAGTTTGCCTTCAAGTTTGAGCCAAAGATATTGCCACCACCGCCGCCCAATCTGCATCGTGCCATGGGTCCGCCCGCTGGCTTTCCCATGCCAGGACCACCGCGTCCGGCCATGCATCCCATGTTCAATGGTGTGCCGCCACCACCGCCCATGTAAAACGTACACAAATTTCAATAAATCTTTTTCCATACACGAGTGTTCTATGTATTTTTTGTTTGCTTTGTGCTTAAGAAATTGAAAAAATATTTGAAGTTCCTTAAGAATTCTCTTATTTGTTTTTGTTTTTTTTTTGTAAGTGTTTTTTGTCTTACAAATTGCTTCTCGTTTAAAATTATTATGCTTAATTTAATAAATGTACATCTACATATAGCAACGGATCCCATGTTATGCCATCCATAAATTGCAATCCATTAGATTTTATCGCGCTTCTTGAAATTCCGCTTGGAGGCGCAGCGATTTATGATGTCCGAGACATGAGGTTTATGCTCAAAGACTTTCATTAGCTGATTCTGTGACTCGTTGATGCCTTCGGTGATGATCTTGCTGCGCTGTATGTTACCCTGCGAATATAATTTGGGAGTTTAGTAAGCCATGGAGAAGCACAGCTCTTCCTTGCTTCCACCTACCTTCAGCAGTTCACTGACTCGCTCCATTTCGCTGTTCTTCTCCTTGCTCTTTTCAATGTCCTTCAGCATCGACTCCAGCTTGGTCATACTGAACGTCTCGGATTCGTTCTGCAAGTAACAAAAAAAAAACCATTAACTTAGACTTAGAATTTATATATAAAGATTTGCTCTGTGTGTCGCACCAAATCCTCCATTTGGGAGCGCAAATGATGCAGCTTCCAGCCGTTGATTTTTCCCTGGACATTTGGCTGATTGGCCAGATCAATGATCGAAGCGCCACGCTCCTCGCGCGGCTTTACATCCGTATAGCGATGGAAATGATTGTTGGCCAGCTTATGGGTGGGCTTGTACGTCTGCAAAATGATAAAATATAATTAAATACTGTCCTCGGAGTCCCCCTAAGTGTCAGTGTCAGCCTCACATTTAGCAGCGAACAATTGCGTGGTCGCCGTAGCACAAAATCCACGGGATTGGCATTCTCCTTGTTACCCGCCACTGCGGGCGCACTGCTGCGATGATTGATGTCGCCCGACGTGCTGCTGCTGCTGTTGGGCGCGACACCGGGCCCTGCAGCGGCTGCCACCAGCAGACCTCCGTTGTTGTGCTTCTGCATGTAGGAAGCGGCGTTGGTTGCCGCCGTTGGCTCTGCAGTTGGTGGCGGCAGCGATAGAGAGGCCTGACTCTGCGTCGAGTGTTGACTGTCATTGCTGGATTGGAGGATTGAGATTTATTTTTTGATTGGAATATACACAGATGAAAATTTAAACTCACGTTGAACGTCGCGGCTTCTTTCTGACGGAACAATCGTAGCTGGAACTGGAGCTGCTGCCCGTGCCATTCATTCGTGCAGCTGATGCTGCCGCCGCCGCCGCCTGCTGCTGCTGTTGCTGGAGTTGTGCTGCTGATCCCAAATGCCCCAGGAGACTTGACTGCTGTGACAGCTGCTGCTGTTGCTGGTGCTGCTGCTGTGGGGTTGGTGTCTGCACATCCACAAAGGCGCTTGAACTACCGCGGGCGCCCAGCGAGGCGTGGGAAAGGGTCTGCTGCATCGACTGGTGCGTCGAGTACAACTGACAAAAAAGAGAGACAAAATCCGATGAGATTATAAGTTCAGCATCAAACGTTAAACTCTTACCTCATTTATGGGATTGAAATGCGTGGAATTGTCGCGACTGCTGGGCACAGCCGCCGCTTGGGGCTCTCCAATACGGTCCTGCAGCTGCTGCTGATCCACACCTGGCGAAGAGTTCGCCGACACTGTGGTGGATCCATCCGAGGAGGCCGGCGACTCGCCGCGTAAATTTCTCACCGCTGTCGCCGCTGCCACTGTCGCTGGGGGCGCACGTTCTCGTTCCTTTTTGGCCAGGGCTTCCACAGTCAGGGCAGAGCTGGTAACGGCCACGGACGAGGCCACGGACACGGAAACGGGCTGCAAATTGAATGTGGAGCCAGCGGCCGAGACGAGACTGGGTCCGCTGGTGTTGCTGGCCATGGAGAGCAGCGTGGGTCCCAGATTCTTGGCTGCCCTAATGGGTGATCCATCGGCCACACGCTTCCCCATGAAACTGGACACGAGTGTTGCGCCACCGCCGCCAGGTCCGCTGATCGTGGCCGGCTGGCTGCTAACTCCGCCCGTGGTCACCTTGACGGACGTGTGCAGCGGTATGACCATGTGCTGCGGTGGGGCACTATTCCCGCCCATTGGTATAATCAGCTGCTGATGGCCAGTGGTGCGTGTTGCGGCTGCTGCTCCTCCCACCGTTTGTCCCGATGGCAGCACCGTGAATGTTGCCTGCGATCCAGGTCCCGATCCACCCACGCCCATTCCCATTGGCGCATGGCTGGGAAAGGGCAATGAGGATACGGACAAGCTGCCGCCAGCACTGCTCACCAGCTGCGCCTGCGACTGAGTGCTCTGCGTGAGGGTCGTTGTGGCCAGCGAGAGGACGCCCGTGGAGGCTGAGGCCGGCATCGATTCGTAGTAGATTGTGGCAGAGCTGCCCTTATCATCAATCTGTGGAATGAAACTCTCGTTTAGTGCCAGGCGATTGATTGCCTTCCAGCAAGCACTCACCTTCATCAGTTGGCTCTGGGAGGCCACAACGGGGTTCCAGGCACGCGGGAATCCCGTCACTGTGGTTCCACTCTGATCACCACCCATCGCCCCACCCGCTGCAACAGCTGGGGTCATCATCATCTTGCCCACGGTTATGCCGCTGGCATTCTTAATGGGCGTTAACGTGCCCGTGAGGGAGTGGCTTCCTCCTCTTCCACTGATTGTCAGCGGCAGCACCGTGGCGCCGCCTGCCGCTGCTGTGGCCTGTCCACTGACGGAATTGGGGTTCACCACATTGGCCGAAACGCTCGGCACGGGCACCGCTTGTATGCTGGCCACACCCACACCCTGTGGCGTCATGGTAGGTGCTCCTCCACCTCCTCCAGGCGTTGCGAGTTTGCCAATTGGATTTAGCTGAGTGATGGTCAGCGACGGCTGCACTTTGGCTGTCATAGTCACGGGCGGGCGGATGCCTGAAAATGGATTTTGGGTTTCAAATTGGATTCTCCTTTGCGTGGCGCGTCACTAGCTTCAGTCTTACCCATCTTGGCCGCTGCTGAGGTACTCATGAGGAAGGGCTGCAGCATCACATTGCCCGCCAGTCGGGCGCCCGCCCCAATAATCTGCTGTGTGGCTCCCGGTCCGGGCTGCTGTAGCTGTATGATACGCGTGGGCAGATTGGTAGCCGTCAGAGCTGTTCCTCCTAAGCCTGGACCACGGCCCGGACCCACTGTCGCTCCCCCCGACACGCTCACGGGCGACTGTGAGGCCGTGACGCTGGCATTGAGCTGTGGAATGCTCGGCGCTCGTATGCTGATGCTCGTCGTGTTTAGTTTGGTGGCCGGAAAACTCTTGCCCAGCGGTATGGGGCGCACCTGGCGGGGTGTGACTGTGGTGCCGCCCGGCGTTGTGGTGGTGACGACTCCTCCTGCCGTGGGTGTTGTCACAGCGAAGCGTGGATTGAACTGCTGACCCGGTTGGGGATTGGCATTGGGCCCACCCGCCGACACATTCGAGGAGTAGACTAGGGTGGCCTGATGCTGCCGCGGAGGCAGCACTGTGGCCACATAGGCCTGAGGACCTGCTCCGGGGCCACCCGTTGTCTGCTGCTGCCCCAGAGACTGGGCAGCTGTGACGGAAAGAGCTGCAAAAGATCGGAGAAGAGTAAGAGCTGGAAGTTCGTGGAAAGACTTTCGTTCCGCTTACCTGTTGGCGCCTGGACCCCAGTGGTGACCACACTGGCACTGCTTACCCCCGCCGAGGTGGTGATGATCCTCTGGCGCGGCTGATGGATGGCACGAATAAGCTGCATCTGCCCGGTGGTGCTCTGCATCCAGGCCGCGTTATTGCTCGATGAGATCACTGTTGATGGCTGCTGCGAGGACACGGACACGCCGCTCCGGCTAACCGTTGCCGCCGTTCCACGCACAAATCCCCCCGATGTGCTCAGACCAGTGGGAGCTGCGGGCGTCACTGTGGCCGAGCCGGTGGATGTGGTCCGTAGCGGTGTGACCAGACGCTGTCCGGCTGCCAAGCCCAGATTCACGCCCACACCCACGCCTCCCATCTGCGTGGCGGTGACACTGGCCCGCGGCAGGTAGGTCGCCTGTGTAACGGGCCGCGTGACGGTAATGGAGGCATTGGAGACGCTACGCGCCGGAGCCGCTGGTATGGCCGTGATCTGGGTGCGCCCCGTGGCGGTGACATTCTCCAGCTGCTTGATCATGGGCATGACGACACGCACCTGTGTGGACTGGCCACCGGCGCCGATTGCCCGTATGGAGGCGGCCGTGGTGGCCTGTCCCGTGTTCAGTGCAATCGGAGTGGCGCCCAGGGATGTCTGTTGCACGGTATTGGCGGCTACCTTGATGGTGCCGCCGCTAATGGAGATGCCCCCAACGCCGACATTTAAGCCCGCGCCATCGGTCTTCAGGTGGGTGATCTTTGCGGCCACCGTCGAGTGTGCTGCGGAGGGCAAATGGGGCAATGAGTATTTGTTTATGACGCCACGCAGATGCAGGGGCGAATGTGTGTGTGATACCAAGGATGAGGCAGCTGCTGCCGCTGCTGATAATGATGATGATGTTGATATTGATGATGATGATGCATTGGGCTGCAGGTGTGTGCGTATTTTAATGGTTTTCAATGGGCCTGCGGCTGTGTGTGTGGAGGATTTAATTGAATTTGTGCAATTTTTAGTTGAAATTTTTCCATTTTAACATTTATCGATTGACGATGGACACGATTTTCACGCCAATTTGGCAACTCTGCCACGAATGCACAGTAACAACAAAACAGAGACAGAAATACACACACACACATACAGTTATGTACAGCAGCAGCATTTGCTGCGAAAGTGAGACACAAAAGAGAATACGAAACAAACACTGCGCACAATACATACACGCACACAAACGGTATATAAATATATATGTAGATATCGTTGCACATACCTGATGGGGCAGGAGCTGTACTTCCGCCGCTGCCAGTTCCCGAACCTCCCGCGCCCCCTTCACTCGACGCACTCATGTTTCTAATTCGAAAACCTGCAATAAGCAACAACAACGCATTTATTCAGATGCCAGTTCCACGTTCTACATGCTTCTCTCTGGCTCTTATCTATTCTCTATGTATCCATTTTTTCTTTGCACGCACACGCACTCATACACAAAAACAGCGCCAATTCGACGTCGGCTGTTTAAGAAAAGTTGTACATGTACTTGCCTTTTTAGTGGATTTTAGTGCACGTGAATAATAGTTTTTAACTATTTTTGCCTGGAATCCGGAACAAATTTTCTTTATATTTTCTTTATTTTCCGAAGTGATATCGATAACTAACCGCGGCTATCGATAGAAGTGGTCTAGTGTGACCATTAACCCGATTATATTGTAAGTAATATCTTCCGTACACATTTACGCTTAATATGACTTGTTTTGCTTGAATCCTATTTTGTAAACAATCCAATGAAAAAGAGTTCTAAAAACTAACCAATCCTGAACAAAATTTATGTATCTATCGGATAAAATTATTTGTTTACGGCTGAGAGGGCCAACTATCTAGTAATATTAAACTGAATATCAAAACTGACGAATTTCATATCACAAAATATCACGGCATGGCAGCCCGCAGCAACTACGAATTGCACGAGTCTGGCAACGCCACAAAACGACGACAAATTCGTTTTATGTTGTTTTTGTTTGAACCTTAATATGTAAATAATCCAATAAAAAGGACTTCTGAAAACTTGCCAATCTCTTAAAAAATGTATGTATCTATCGGATAAAATTATTTGTTTAGGGCTGAGAGTCCCAGCTAGCAGGTAATATTAAACGGAATATCAATATCGAGGAATATCAACGTCGAATGTTTTGAAAAAACAATCGATACTATCGGGCTGAAATAATTATTAAAAAACCATTGAAACCTTTTAGGAACTTGTCCATTGTAAAAATTAGATGCCACCTGTCGATTTGTTTGCAAATTTGTCTTCGTATTTTATAGCAGCCAATCCAAACATATCAAAAGCGCAACGACTGTGCTCGATACTATCATGATAGTCGCAAAACCGTCGATAGTAGAGACTAGCAGTAAAATATCGATACTATCGATAGTGCCCTCGATGGTTTGACACCTCTAATGACTTGTTTTGCGTGAATTTCTTTAAAAATTAGAAACAAGCTCGACTGCGGGGTATGCACTAACTAAATCGGTCGTGTGTGCAGCCGCGTTAGGGGCAGAATAACTAAAAATTCAAATTCAATAAATAGCACACGGGCCCCATTAAGAAGGGGAGCGAAAAGCAGTTTAATTGAATTTCAAGTGAAATTAAAGTAAAGTGTGTGGTGTGTGCCTGCCTGCCTCCCCCGATAAAATTGTTAAACGCAAGTGAATCGCAACGAGTTACGTGAAAAACCACCAAGTGCAAGAATTCGCTGCTCGCTGCTGTCCCCCCTCAGCCGTACAAGAAAAAAAAATTGATTTTCCACAATTGCAATTGAAAGGCAGAAAGCAGAAAGGCAAAGAAAAGCAACTGCCGTTGACCGTGCGTGAGTGTGTGTTGTGTTCTGTGTGTGTGTGTGTGTGTGTGTGTGAGAGAGAGGGTGGTGTGGTGGTGTAAAGGGCGCGCGAGCGAAGGAGAGAGCGTAACGAGACATCGCATCCTCTTCGCATGCAATGAATATTGTCGGGGAGTATGAATACAGCTCCAAGGATATGCTTGGCCATGGCGCCTTTGCTGTCGTCTACAAGGGGCGTCACCGCAAGGTAAGAACTACATAAACAACAAAACTTTACGTTCTCCTGATGTAATTAACTTGTTTATCCCACAAGTCCGAGTGTGCAATATTGTTGACTCCAATGTGGGGCTTGGCTCTCATTCGAAAACAACATCAAAACTTATTAACAATGCGCCATTGTCAGTGGGTAAACACAAAATACGTCGCCGCAAACACAATCGCCAAAAGCACAACGCCCGCTTGCTTTGGCTTTGCTTTGCTTTGCAAAAACGTCGTCAGAGAATGAGTAAAAAATCCGCTGAAATCAGAACCCCCAATTCTCAGCGCTTATTTGTTGTGCCTTGTTTATGTTACTATTTTCTATCCCTTTTGTTCCAGCATAGTTTATCTGTGGTCGCCTCTCGCACGTGCCTTCACACAATGACAAGAAATTGCGTAGGCTATTCCCCCATACGTATAATCTGTGTGTATGTTGGTGTGCTTCGTGCCTGTTTTTGTGTGTGGGGTCTTCAAGTGCTTTTGAACTATTTCAGGGTCATGCCCGAAATAATGAATTCTGTACAATTGCCTGTCGAATTATTGGGTCTCCAAAGGGGGGCCACCAAACTACAATTTTCAATTTCAAGTAAACAAATGGAATTGTTTGGGCGGGAGAGGAAAATGTTTCTCTGAGTGATGATGGGCTGCTGTAAGGTGTGCCGTCATTTTGCCACTTTTATCAGGCTATTACCCGATCAACCATTTCCCAACTTTAAAAAGCACTTTATAAAGCAAAAGCAAAACCACAAAAAAGCCATAAATAAAAGTAAAGTGAAAAGCGAAAACACTTTGCCAAGCAGCATCCAACAGCTGCCCGTTATTGCATCAGCTGTTTTCTGTATCCATAATAAAAAGCACCTTGCATACATATGTACATATAGATATGTATGTACATATGTATGTATTGATATACATATGCACCAGTTTAAATTTGTTTGTGTACGTTTTTCATATGTGCCTAATTATGTATGTACATATGTACATATCTGTATGTATGTATGTATATTTAAGTATCTGGACACATTCGATTGGCAAAACATTCAGGCATGTTTTTATATGCCCTTGCAGTGGGTATTTATACTAAAGGAAACATCTCCAGCACCATAAAGTGTATATAAAAATATATTCCTGATCCGATTTGATATTGCCATAATCTAATGATTAAATTTGTTTTTTCCAAGCCTTGTTTAATTTCAGAAAAAATAATAGCTGTCGTAGGCAAGGCTTGTCGTTCCCAAAATCTCTAATATATTTTCTTATAGATATACACCTGATTTTTTCAAAAGAATCGTTTCTTCTTTTTAGAAAATTGTTTCCTATGGCAGACTGTTTAGTCATTTTATTGGAAATGTGCTCAGTAATGTACATTATTAATTACGATTGTAGTCCGTCCAGTGCCGCTGCGACAACAATAGCGTAATCGACTTCTCCACACCTACAACAGATCACTTGTCTCACTCGCTCGCACACACACACCCACCCCCTGCTACTGTTGCTCTCACTCTCACCGTCACTGTTGTGTTCCCTGTCTACCACTTTGTCACTGTCTTTGTCTTTGGCTTTCATTGTAGATCTTTTAACAATCTTTTCTCTTTTTCCCATTATTTCGCCCAAAATGTTTTGAATTGATTTTCTTTGAAATTTCAAGTTGAATAAAATATGTTTAAGATCAGAAAATGTTTCTCGAATGGTGGTGGGTGCATTATTCAGCTATAAGTTATCCATTTACCAGTCCATACAACACTATATTTGAGTAGATAATAATGATCATATCGAATGACTGCTTTTTCTCTCATTTTATGGTTGCTTGGAGACACATTTGTGTTGCCTTTCCATGTGTTAATATTCTGATGCCATCCCTTTGGTTATTTTAAGCAGCTCAAGCAGGACTAGTCAGTCAGCTCATGCAGCACTTATCTTCGTTAAGTATCTAAAGTCAGCATGTGCTCAGAAAAAGATTGGCTAAAAATAGTCGCGGCACATGTGTGTTCCATCCAGACAAAGACATCGAGGCAGGCGACAGAAAACGGCAAAGAATATCTCCTCAGAGTAGGAGTAGGGAGGAGCAGCCGCAAGTCCAAGAATAAAGTCAATTCCCAGTGTCTACTGTTTGTTGTCTGGCCTGGCCTGGGCCTGGCCTTTCCATGAATGGGCAGACTCTTTGGATCTTTATCTGTACTTGTAACTCAGGGATACGCCGCTGCTGCTGCTGCTTTTGCTGCTGAGCTCACATGTACCCAGACCCAGACGACACGTGTTTCCATATTTCATAGAGCGTTTCGCTTTTATCGTGTTCCCCCAATTGCATAAGCTGGCGTGGCGGAATCATGCAAAAAATTACGAATCCGAGTACGGGCCCAGATCGTGTGTACAATGTTTAGTTCTCCCTTACCCCCCGCCACCCCGCCTGTTCCAGGGAACATTTTGTTGTAGCGTTGCACAATCCATTCCCCCGCCCAGCCCACGTTTCTCATTTCCAGACATTTTGCATATTTATATTGTATGTAGTTTGTAGTTTGTGCAATTGAATATTTTCCCCATTTACTAAGGGCATGAAAATGCGTTTTGAGCAAAACTACATACAATCCCAGTACATATAGGATGCGATTGATTATACCCTTCTGGGCATGTGTGATAATGATTTGGAATTGTTTCATAATCAATCAGATACGAGTATGGCATTACGAAGCTTCTGGACGGGCCCGGCCCTCTCTCTCTATCATCGTGATCAGCGAAATTTTTGATATTCAAAGGGAAAACAAAATCCCTAGGGTTCCTATAAAATGTAGCTACCACTTGCCGTATATTTAATTAGATTCTTGATTAATTTAGATCAAAATAAGCCATCGATGAAATGTCTTTGCCAGCTATTAGTCTGGGAATTCCCAGAACTTTAATCGATTGCGAAACGGAAGTGAAATCAACCCTTCCCATTTAAAGTATCTTGTGGGAACAACTACGACACGTGCAGACCAAAATGGAATGCCATAATACGCATAAATTAATTGAGCAAATGCCGCCAGACATCGGCGAGCACATCAACTATATAGTAAAGATTTATATACATTTAATTCGCAGAGTCAAACTAGTTTGTCTTGTTCAGCTCCAGATCGGTAGTAGGTACGAGTTATACTGTCTGTCAATTGGTCGTGAATTATGCGGTTATTGGTATATGAAATAAAAGTTTTGCGTCGTAAAATTAGAGAGAATTTCCGCGATACATTGTGGGGCTTTGGCCAGATATGTACATATATATTTTCACCCGCCAAACCAGTTGGGAGTTTTATCTTGTATCTCTTGCTCTCTGTCTGTCTGTCTGTGTGTGTGTGTGTGTGTGTTATTCGTCAGATACTCGCACTCGACTTGGTCTATGGTTGATGTGCTGCTGCTGCTGCTGCATTTCGTTTCTCGTTTCTCGCATTTTCTGCCACAATTTTTGCCTTTTTCGTCTTGCTATTTTTGGCCGAAAGAAATGCTGGCTGCTTTTTTTCCCTTGTTGTTGTTAGTTGATGACGGCGGCCATTGCACCCTAAGGCCAACAAATTTCTTTCACCTTATCGTTGCTCCCAAGTTCAGTGAACCCGCCCAAAAATAATTTAATATCACACCAGGCCCCCACCAGCCCCTAATTATCTGAATCGCATTTAATATTGTTTTTAGAACGAGTGGCCCCCTTTTGGGGGTTTCCACAAAAACTTTCGCCTACGTTTTTGACACCATTTCCGCTGCAGCTTCTGGCTTGGCCAGCGAAATTTGTTCATTGAGGTGATTGGGTCAAGAACTGCTGCAGAGTCCGTTGCCTGTGGTGGATAATCTAATCTCAAGTTCTTTTATTGCCTCATACTTGGAAAGGTAAACACAATTCGAGGCAAGGGAAAAATTGAGAGAAATGGAGATCAAAGAGTTGAATGAATAATAACCATAAAATACTAAGTACATTTATTTGCAAGCACTTGCCACTGACCTGATCCCATTGCCATTTGTAATCTAGTCGAAAGCTTCAAGCTTCAAGCTCCAATGATCGCATATCAATACCCCCCCCATTGAACAACACCCAACAGTCACGAACAGAGAGTCTTGACAACAGATGACAGATGAAAACTGAACTCTCAAACAAACAAACAAGCAGCAGAAGAAGCAGCAGCAGATGTGCAGGGCAAGGCCTTGGTAATCGGTCAGCAGAAGCTGCAAGTATCTCTTGATTTGGTTCATTGCTGTTTACAGAATACGAATAAAAAATATGCACTTAAATTGTATAAATAAATCTGCTGCACACAGCAGAGATTGTCAGCCGGAGGGGAGCAGTACATATCGATTTACAAGCCGCCCCCCCCATGCAAAGAGCGCGTGTTCAATGGGGTGGGGCGTGGCGGAAACCAATAGAATGCTAGACAGTAGCAGTACTCTTATTTCTTAACAGTTGAAAATATACAAAGTATACCAGAGAAGTTAGGAGTAAATATCTAACAAAAAGCAATAATTATTTTTGTGTATTTTGTTTTTTCATTCTTGGTCACGCACACGCATGTATTTTGTTTTCTTTGGCATTCTCTTTTGCATTTTTCGCTTGTGCGTCTGTGCAAGAATATATCTCGGAGCAATGGAAGAAGTTGCGGAGCAAGGGTTTACCCTGTTGGGCCACGATCATCTTTATATATGTATTTATTTATTTATTATCCCTCAAAGTTTGCTTACTTCAGACAAATAGTCATTGTCACCTGTTGGGTAAATCAAGACATGAGGAGACGTGAGGAGCAGCAGTTGGGGTGTCTTATCAGTGGGACGACGACTCAACCCGTTATTTGTTTATGCACTCGTCGTCATTCGAGCCATAGCTGCCCTTCCCTTACCACCCTTTCGTCTGCTTTGTGGCCCCAGTTGTGTGCGTTTTTGCGTATCTAATAATAACAATCCGAACGAGAGCCGAGCCACACTCTTTTGCCATCATCATCTGGGAGACTTGCATTTCCCTGTTCCCCAGTGCGTGCTAATTAAAGCCAGCGGCAAAGGCATTTGAGCAGCGAATGCAAATTGTGGCACCAGTTGTGGCAGATGGCAGATGAAATCAAAAAAGATTCAAATACAAGCGAGGACTTGCTGGCCAGCTATAAAAGAAAATAAATAAACAAGAGAACGGGGAGGAGGCGAAATTCTAATGAATGAAACGGCTGTGAATGGCCGATAATTTGGCATTATATTCTCCCCATTAAACAAATTAAAAAACAATTTTTATAGCCTCCAAAATGGAAACACCTTAACCCCATGAATCGATATTGAACCAAATCATTCGATGCAGTCCCTCAGGGGAATTGATTTTGCGATTGAATTGATGAATTGATGAATGAATTTGCTTTTAGAATTAGAATTAGCTTAAATGACTCAATGACTAAACTGAAATAAATATTAATGAGATTGTTTTTGTTTTTATATATACATAGAAACACATGCCGGTGGCCATCAAATGCATTTCCAAGAAGGGACTAATCAAGACGCAGAATTTGCTCGGCAAGGAGATCAAAATTCTAAAGGAGCTCACCGAACTGCACCATGAGAATGTTGTGGCTTTGTTGGACTGCAAGGAGTCCCAGGATTGCGTCAATTTGGTCATGGAGGTAAGTCGTGTCATTATAGTAGTGTAAACCCAAAAGCAACCCAAAGCAGAAGCAGAAGCGTGAAAAACGGCATAAATATTTAATGTTTATATGGCTAAAACGTGTGCGCGCCTGTGAGTCAATCCATCCCCCCCCACAGTGGCGTTGATGGGGAATGGGGTAGGTATGGTTGGCCAGTTCCACGTCATATTACCACCTACCCCACACACACACCTCTAGCCTCTCCACCCCTCTATCCCACTGCTTGTCTTCTGTTTGGCTAAAATGCTACGCCATTAATTGCGGAAGTTGCGAAATGAATTCGTAAATAAAAATAAAGTGAGAATAGAATGGAACGTGGATATTCGTCTAGACACAGTGCATACTCATTGCTTCTCAAGTTTAATTTTAAGAGAGCTTTACAAACATTTATAGTTCCCCTGTATATAGGGCATAGGAATCTATAGATATTAACCTATAGAAAATGGTATACGAATTGGTCGAGTTATTAACTGAGAAAGGAAAAACAATCAGTGTAGGGTTATCTCTGAGGCTTAGTTGCAGTAGGGGGGGGGAGGGGTGAATCACTAGCACACCCATGCACACTCTTTCGGCTTTTCCCCTGTGCTGTGTGGGGTAATTGCGCGTTGTTTTTGTTCGCCTCTTTATACGATATTTATACTTAATACGCATTTGTTAATTTACACCAGATGCCCTGCCACGCCCCTCCCCGGTACATTATCCGTTTGGGATATTCGGTTATTGAATCGTGAAGTTTGTTCAACTCTCTACAGGTGTGTGCCGCTTGCTAGCACTCAGTGTGTTTACAGGGAATGGTGGTGCGACTATTAGGTACATATATAATCGGGAAAGTAGGTCAAATGTCTGTGGCACACGGGCATTAGAGGCTCTCTTTTTGGGCGAGTGTTGGTTTGTTGTCCGACTGATAAGATTGGATAGGATTGTGTTGTGTTGTTTACTTCGATACTCTGCGCTAGAGAAAGATTTTGAGAAGCTATGTACATATAAGTTCTTGGACCCAACTAAATGCTCAAACTCTTGCTCAGGTTAGGGTATTTTTTTTATTCGCTCATGCTCTGCTCTGCTTTTTGGTTTTGCTTTTATTTGCTTCCATTGCAAGGCATTTTAAATAGAGAAGGTGAGACAAGTAAATGTGACAGAGTCGCCGCCTCTATTATTGGGATGCAAAACATGTGCAACCTATGCGCACATTCATCATTATATTCGCATACGAGTATGGATGGAATAGCAGTACCTTGTCTATAAATTACATACATACATATACCTCAACTTACGGTTTGAGCGTGAGCGAGAGGAAGTGCTAGTGCTAGTATTTCATTCCCGTCTGCTATTGTCTGTTATTACATTTTCGTTTGTCTGACTTTGGCCCCGTTAGCTTTGAGCTCTGCCACTGCGCTGTTATTCTAATTACTTTGCAATCAAAGAAAGAGAGAGAGAGACACACAATGAGATGGGTGAATGGGATTGCGATTACAATCAGCGATTCCCTCTCTTATGCTCTCTACTATATATATATACATACATATGTGTATGTATGCTTGTATTAATTCGGTTTGTCTGCCTGCCTGCCTGCCCACGTGTTCCTCTGCTCTGCGCCCCGTCCGCTTTGTCTGCTCTTCTCTATTTATTTACTCGCATCAAGCCAATAATTAACGATCGATCTGTTTATTTGCTGCTTAGTTTGTTGTGAGCGGATAAATATGGGCGGGATTGATAGATATGATGCATACGATACGATAAGATAGCAATGCTGTGATATGGTGGATAATCAAGGTTGTCAGGTGTCAAGTTTCGGTAGCTGTAATCGCGTTAGCCATTATTAGATTCCACATCTGCAGCTGGTATATTAAGTTTCCTGGAAATTTCCCATTTCCCCACTTTGGGGCAGGCATCAGTAAAACATATTTCAATTGTTTTCTACTATTTACAATAATTGTATTGTTTTTTTTTTTTTATTGTATTTTGGCAAAAACGTCTATAGCTACGACACACACACACACACACACGAACATAAAACTAAAAACTAAAGTGACATACATTTTTATATGCAAACTAAGCATAGAAGAGCGTAGAGTCTTCTCCTCCTGCTTCCCTTGCTCCCGACTAGGCAGCTAGTTTAACCTACATACTCCGACTAAAACGAACTAGAACCCTGGTGGACAGCAATTGGCTGGCTGTGCTGTGCTTGTGTTGTGTTTGGTGCTAGAGAACAATGGGAACGACTACTACAATTGTCTATGTATTATGACGTCAAAGTAGTTAACTAATTTTCGCATTCTACAGATAAGTTATCCCATATAAATTAAGACATACATACAAAGTATACATCTATGGCTATCTGGCAAAAAATGCTTGTAAAGTGGAACGTGTTTGTTTCTTGGTTAGAAATTCGGAAAATTGTCTTTTTTTTCTACTTAGGCTAACTTATTTAATGGTATCTCCTCAGTGGGATGCACCTGATCCTTTGGCTCCGGTTTGCTGGTGCGGCAGCATTTGGTCTTGATGCCGCCCACATCCTTGCGGCAAATGAGGCCAATGACAATGCCAATGACCGCTAGCACCATGATGCCTGAAATGATGTAACATTAGTTGAAGAATCATATTCATATTTCACATTTCACAATCACTCACAGATGAGCAGCGTGTTGATTGTCTCCTGTGAGATGGGCACCTGATAGGGCTGCTCCTTTTCCGTGGTCGCATCCACAGAGACCCCACTGCTCTCGGTCACTGTGCCCATGATGCCAGCCTTTGCCACTTCAATGGCCGCCGCCGCCGTGCCGTTGGCCATTTTATTCCGATTGCGATTCGCTGTTTAGTTTTGGGAGACACGACACGACATTAGTATATACTTCCATAATTGTTTTTGTGGAGTCTGTTCCGCTTACCTGTGCGTGTCGGGGCGGGGGTTGCGGCTGGCCGTGCTGTGGTGGCAGCTGTGGGCAGGCCCGTCACCCGCTTGAAGGGCGGATCTGTGGCCTGGATCAGACTCTCGTTGAACGATGTGCCCAGCACTAGCTCGAAGCAGCTCACATCAAAGTGCCTGAAGCTGATGTTATCAATCGACTTGAGCAGGTTGCACAGTTCCTCGATGTTTTCCTGGTCCAGTTCTGGCAGTTTTAGCTTAATTATGTTTCTTAGCGGTGCAAAAGCTCGCGTATTGATTTTCTGTCAAAAGAAAAGGCGTGAGTGAGCGAGACAACTATATATATGATGGTCTAACAGCTGCTGCTGCAGGGTTGCTTTGGCTTGCATGCCGCAACTATCGATAGACCTTTCGTGCGATAACTTTGGCGCGCAACCTGTTACCTGTTCGAAATTGTTGTTGTTCAAGCGCAGCGTTTGCAGGGCACTCATATTCACGAACGTCTGCTCCGGCAGCTCCGTCCAGCTGCAATTCGAGCAACTGAACTCAATCAAACTGGGTTGATTGAGAAATGATCCATCCAATCGCTGGCTGATTGAATTGTTGCTCAGATCGAGCAGCTCCAGGTCTGTGGCCCCCACAAAGGTATCGGGTTCGATTTTGGTGAGACGATTGTTGGCCAAACGCAGCCGCCTCAAACGCTCCAAGCCATGGAAGGCCTGCCAAGTAGATGGATTTTGATTATTATATTATTTAGTTATACTTTTATTGTATGCGCATGCCTACCTCCTTGTCCAGATGACTGAGCAGATTGTGATTCAAATTGATCTCCACCAGACGGGATAGATTGGCAAAGTCCTCTGGCCTCAGTTCGGCAATCACATTATAGCTCAAGTCTATGATGGCCGCCGTCCTCGGAATGTCCAGGGGCACGTGGGTGAGATGAGCATTGGAGCACTGGATATACTTGTCCTCCAGGCAGCGGCATTGCCGTGGACAGCTGGGCTCCAGCACCAGATTGCTGCGTCGTGGTATATCTTTTCAGAGGATTAACAATCAGTTGTGATCAAGTGTGTAAGGCAATTGATTCTCACTAAATGTCGGTCGAAATGTGGTTGTGGTTGATGTTGAGGATGTGAATGGCATCAGTCTGTTTTCAGCTGTCTCCGGTGATCCCTTGGACGCCGTCTCTTCACTGTAGTCATAATCATCGTATAAATAGTCCTCAGCCGAACTGTTGTTCTGTTGTCCAGCGGCTGGAGCTGCAAATGTGTGGCTGATGCTGAAAAAGTTTGAAAAAGCATTAGAGCAATTATCGACCAATTTGTAAAACTTGATTTAAGCCAAATAAATAAATATACCAAAAATGGCAACTGGCTGGCAAATTCTAGGGTAAAACGAGGCCTTACATCATCATCCGTCTTGAAGGCGAACACACCCAACTAATTTGTCCTGAAAACGCTCTTGACCCATTTAATTACGAGCAAAGCCAAGCGAACACGCACACACACACACACACACACACACCACCCTCCATGGAGGTGGACAGGTAGGCGAGCGAGCGATAACTTTTTCCTCTCCTCACTGTCATTATAAGTTTTTGTTTATCTCTCTCCCTCTCACTCTCTCTCTCTCTCTTCATGCCTTACAGTACGTTTTACAGCTGTATGAACCTGTATTTAATAACTCTGGCTCTCTGGACGAGTATCAGTTGTAATTTCAAAAGAAGTTTTCAGCTGCCTTAAACTACTGTAACGCACTGTATATGCGGTGGGTCTCTGGAGCGCGGTGTGGTGGGAAAGAGGCACATAAACCTGTTTACGTCATGGCAAAAAGAGACAACTTGACCGGTTTATTTTTTTATTTATTTTTTTTTTTTTGCACGATTTCGTTTACTCTCACTTTCGCCGTTTGTTTTGGTTTTTGTTGCTGCTGTATTCTGTATTCTTTTATACGTATTCGTGTCTGCTTTCGCCTGATTCTAAATCCTTCATTAGACTTCTGCGCTCAGCTCAAGGGGGTGTGCGGGGGGTGCGGGTCAAGTGTGTCTTAAAAAAACGTCTTGACTTTTGAGAATTCTCTCAAATTGCGTGACTCTTGACTGAAGTTTCATCAAATGATTGTTAATGATACTCATCAGGCAATCCAAGTGGCCAAATTAGAGGGGGGCTGAAACGTTTTTATACTAGACGGAAACCGTACGGAAACTTATTGTTTTAGTGCTGATAAAGGTCTCAATTATGGCTGCTGCGTTTTTCATTGGTAATAAAGAAAATACCTTTAAAAACCTCTAAACTGCACAACGACCCATGACGATCAAATGTAACCCCCCTCAGGAAGGGATATTTCAAGTGGAAATAAATGCTCCGTCTCTCTCTTTGCTTTCAACACAATAAAAATCAATGAAGCGCTCGCTGTCTCTGTTTTTAGCTGTAAATTGTATAGGACGAGACTATTAAAGTGTGACTCATACGGACAGGGAGAGAGAAACAGTAGCTGCTCCCAGAAGCAGTCTCTGGGATTAAGTTTCCTGCACTTCCTGTTCTTCTTGGTCGATTTTCTTGCACTCAAAGTTCCCATGTTTTTTGAGTTCATGCCGCCGCCGCCACCTCTGGTCAAACCAATGTGATAAGGCTGGCGCAAAAAAAAAAGGCATAAATTATCGGGCAAGCAGCGTGTATTGTTATTATTTTTATCAGATTATGTGATATGATTAGGAACCATTAAGTGCTGTTGCCGAGGTCTGTCCATAAAAGAGTTGGTTGTATGTTTTTTTTTTTTGCTTTTTTTATAACCTCTGCGTGAGTGTTGCAATTGGAATTGATATAACAGGCGTTGAGCAGGGGGGTCAAAGTCCCGCTGCTCGTGCGCTTCCTCAACAGGTTGGAGAATTAATCACTGACGAGCGTTACTCAATTAAAACTTTGTACTTTGTCTTATTTCGTTTCTTTGTGCCTGATGTGTCTGTCTTTCCTCTAGAAAAAAAGCCCAATTGACTATGGAAAAAGCCCATCCAGACCATAGAGACTGCGTCATCCCTTCTTATAGGAATTTCAAATTTCAAAGATGATTTGTTTAACAAATTCAATTTCACCTGCCTATCTTTACTAACTCTGATCTCAAAGTAAATGTTTTAAACATTTTTGTATTTGGTTTTTACCTGACGCTTAGCAAAAATATCAAGAGCAAGCCAAATTTGTAATACACGTGCATTTTGATTATTGTTTCTTTTTGTTAAATTGATTATTTATTTATTGGTTAGTTTCCACTGGTTTAGCAATATAAATTATATATTCTGTTGTTTTCATTTGTTTGGGGCGAGAATTTCACAATCTGAAAATAAATTTGAATTAGTTTTCTTTCACTTTACACTTTTTGGTTTCCATAAAGTTATACTGTTTTTTATGGGCATAATAAATACATCAGTTCGCATAACTTAATTGCCACAAAGCTTTTTCGATCCGCTCGCACACACCGGCACACATTCTCAACGCCCAAACACAACTGTCGGCGGCGGGGCCAGACCCCCAAGCATATGGGAAATTTGACATCCAATGCAGGTGAGAGAGCGTCGAAACTCTCTCTCTCTCTCTGATTCGCTCTGAACATTCTTGGACGCCAACAGTCGATTGTTTGATTCTTTTGCTTGGCACCACTCTCTCGTGCTCTCTTTCTGCCCTCTCTCTGTTTCGCTCCCTAATCTATGTGGAGTGATTAGTAAATGTTTAGCCCCGGCATGCCTCTACATGCCTCAGCCACTTAATCTTATCATTTTTCGTTCGTTTGTAATTCTCTGTGCTGCTTCGTTTTGTTTTCGTTGTTTCATTCCATTTGACATAATTTTTTAGTGACTGTTGCTATTAATTTAATTATTGTAGCATGTAACGTTTATGGAGAGTTTCCCCCCAACAAGATGAAACTTAACGATGAATGTAATTCCCCAATTGTCGATCATGTCGATCGATGGCGAAAAGTAAAGCAAACTTTGATTGGTGGGGGAAAAACTGATTCTTAAAGCCTTAGAATCAATATTTGTTAACATAATTTGCAACTATTGGAATTGGAAAACCATAACATGACTAAGCCGGAATGTTGGGAATGAACAGATTAGCTACTAGATTAGCTTGTTGTGTGACGTGTTTTGAATTTTAATTGTAATTAAAATATTTATCAGTGAACTTTGCTTGATTCACCCAGCGTGCATATATATATGTACATATATGTATTTTTGTTAGTTTCATGTCTTTATATAGACTGGCTACATATTTTTTTGTATATACACACAAATCTATATAGCGGCACGCTTTGTTTTTATCGCCTAGAAAAATAATGTTGACCTTTAGTCCATTGAAATTCACTTGGAATGATTCGCGGCACACACACACACACACACACCGTTCAAACTCCACACGTAATACCCTTGGTTGGTGTCTTTCGGAAATGTATGTGCTCGCGATTTTGCTTATTTATTTGACCACACGCACTAACAACAATTTGGCAATTGCAGCGAGCTTTTTGCACTTTTTGTTTCTTGCTTTGTATATACCGTACGATTGCAGCTTTTGCAGCCAAGACGGGCGAGTCGCGCGATTGTCGTTGATAGACTGAGCGGCAGCAGCAGCAACCCACAGCACAGCCCGCCAGCCCGTGGCAGCGAAGCGCGCTCAGCTCAGAGAGCAAGAGAGACAGAGATAAAGCTCTCTCTTTGACGCTCGCGTTGATGGAAACTTGAAAACTCCAAATGTTGTTGGTTTTTTTCCGTTTTTTTTTCATTATAATGGGCAAGTGCATTTTCCAATAATTCGCTGACTCATGCGCACTTGTTTGCTGATGTTGCATATATGTACATATATTCATTGATTAGAGAAAAACCAGAGTTAAATTTCTAAAAGCCCCCTGACTGCGGCTGTGATGGCGCCCTGCTCTCTTCTGCTCTTCGTCTCTCTTTCTGAACTTTTATTGTAATTATTTTTGTTTTTTACTGTCACTCATTTTACATGTCAATGACTTGTTTGAGTGGCTGTTTAATGTTCTCCTGCCTCTCCACTTCCCCTCTCCGACCCCCTGTAGTGCGTTAAGCGTTTCCACAAAAGCAAGTGAAATCTTTTGTCATTTCAATTTTGTGGTTTTAATTGCCTAATATTGCCTCGCTTTGTTTGCTCATTAAGTTGTGCGAGAGTAAGTGGTCCGGCGGCGGTACACATGTTTTCTCATTTTCTGCTGTTCGACAGTAAGTTTGTTTGTAGCACTGCTTGTAAAGCAGGGCAAGCAAGTGTGAGAGAGTGTGATGTGTGTGTGTTCCTCTTTGGCTAGGCCCAAGGTCAGAGAAACGCCAATCCTTTTTTGGCAGCTGTCTGAGACCCCACCCCACCCGAAATAATGTGTGAGACTGGTTCTCTTGACAGTTATATCCGGAAGAAGGCTGTCAGCCCATCAGTGATAATTTAATTCAAAAAAAAATTAACCATTGTATACAGGATATGTATGAACAGGAACCCGGGAACTGGACTGCTTCAAGAGCGGAAGCCAGCAGCTGTCCAAGTACCAGAAACATACAAACATATGTACCTACATAATTCCCTAATTCTCCAGTTGGTTTCCTCAACTTGAGATTCTTGATTGTCATAAATCACATTCGCATTGACCTTGCCCACATTCTGTATGTAATTGTCTGAGTCGCCGCCTCTCTTGGGTGGATCTCTGGGCCTCTGGGGGTCTTGGCATTTCGCTTTGATTGAACCTAATTCATTTGCATAGTACGCGCTTTGCTTTTGCTTTGCTTTCGGCACCGAGACCCCCGGACGCCCCTTGTGTGGTTGTGGCAGATTTATGTGCGCTCTGAACTTTTGACTTTTGCCTTAATGATAATAATGTTTTTTTTTCTCTCTGTGTTTGTTCCATTCTTCCCTTTCCTTTTTGCAGTACTGCAATGGCGGCGACTTGGCGGATTACCTGAGTGTAAAGGGTAGCCTGAGCGAGGATACCGTTCGATTGTTTCTCATACAACTAGGTAAGCAGCGTATATACATATATATATCTAAATATATATAATTTCATTAAATTTATTGTATATATTTTAGCTGGTGCTATGAAAGCACTGTATACCAAAGGAATTGTGCATCGTGATCTCAAGCCACAAAATATACTGCTATCGCACAATTATGGCAAAACATTGCCATCACCATCGAAGATAACCCTGAAAATTGGTGAGTAATGAATGGACTCTAAAGCTAACAGCACTTACATACATTTCTTTTTTTTTCTTTGTAATTTTAGCGGATTTTGGTTTTGCGCGTTTTCTGAACGATGGCGTCATGGCAGCCACACTCTGCGGCTCCCCCATGTATATGGTAAGGGGAAATAACTATAATCCATAATAAAAATTGTAGTCCTTAATCTCGAATATCTGCACCGATATAGGCACCCGAGGTGATCATGTCGCTGCAGTATGATGCCAAAGCGGATCTCTGGTCGCTGGGCACGATCGTCTATCAGTGTCTGACCGGCAAGGCGCCCTTCTATGCACAAACGCCCAACGAACTGAAGTTCTACTACGAGCAGAATGCCAATCTGGCACCCAAGTAAGTGCCACCGATCGTTCACGTATATTTTATGATCTAATGTGATGCTGCCCCGAAGGATACCCCATGGCGTGTCGCCGGATTTGAGGGATCTGCTGCTGTGCCTGCTGCGACGCAATGCCAAGGATCGTATTTCATACGAGAGCTTCTTTGTGCATCGTTTCCTGCAGGGCAAGAAGGCTGTCGTGTCGCCAGGTGAGTCGCTAACACAGCCCTTTCCCCCCCAAAGAAGATTCACTAGTTGTTGTGTTGTTTGAACAGTTGATATGCCACCGCTGGGCGGCACACCGCCGGTGAAGGCCAAGAGTCCATTGCAACAGCAAATGGAACAGGAACTGCAGCTGGTCAAGCTGGCGGAGCAGCAGCAGAAGGAGCAGGAGGAGCAGGAAGCGGCCCAGGATGAAGAGAATACGGGTAACTATCGAAAGAGTCGCTCTTAAGAAAACGAATCACCCTCTGTGTTTTGTTTGCTTTTGTTTTTAGTTTCCGTGGTGGCCAATCCGGCCATTTGTGCCACCATCACCAATGTGGGAGTGCTCTGCGATAGCGAGAACAACAGTGGATCGTGCAGCTCTCATGAGGATTCCGATGACTTTGTGCTGGTGCCCAAGAATCTGCCCGAGGATCAGCGTCAGGGTCAGACGATGCCCACAACTGGGGGCCAGCGTCAACAGCAGCCACAACAAAATCAATCCAGTCCGCCACGGCCCAGCAGTCTGCCCATCTCCGAGCCGAAGCCAGTGCCGGCACCAGCACGCCGCCAAACGGCCGCCCATCCAGCTGGAGGAGGCGCACTGGCCGGCTCGCCGGCCAGGCAGGGCAACATGCCGCTGACTGTGGCCACGCTGGCGGCGGCCGGCAAGCAGCTGCCACGCTCCCAGCCCATCAGTGTGAAGCAGCCGAGGCCGGATCAGCGCAAGAGCAGCGTGAGCAGTGACATCAACTCGATCTCGCCGCCAGCAGTGCAGTTTGCCATAGGGACACCACCGGGAGGAACCACCCGGATAAGGTCCGCATCGGGGGGTTCGCTGTCGGAGACACCGCCGCCGCATGCGCCGAGCACGTGGCAAGTGTCGCCCGGACACTCGCAGTCACCGCTGCGCAGGAGCGGCAATAGCTCACCGGTTCTTCCGTCCGCCGCGCTCACCATACTGCCGACCCTGGGCAGTCCCACAATGCTGATGGCACCCGGTTCGCTGGGCTCGATAGGCTCGTCGGCGGGCAGCGGCTCGGAGAACAACAACCAGCACCATATGCTCGGACCGCGTGCCTTCACGCTGCCCGAGCTGGGGGCCACCGGAGGACTGCACAGTCTGCTGGACACGGGCGCCGGAGGCGTTGGCGGTGGCGAACCACATGCATTCCAGGCTCCAGAGCTGTCGGAGGAGACGCTGATGGATCGCGAGCATAACGAGACGCTGTCCAAGCTGAACTTTGTGCTCGCCCTCACCGTCTGCATCCAGGAGGTGGCCGACTCCCGTTGCGCACCTCTCTCCACTTTGATGGTGGCCGGCAGTCAGACGGCAGCCAATGCAGACAATCCCCAACAGATACCGCCCCATGCCCCGGAACACTGCAAGCGGGCGGAGCGTCTGGTGTTGCTCGTGCGTGCCCTGCAGCTGCTTTCCAGCGGCCTGAATCTGGCCTCGCAGCAGCTGCGCAATGGCCAGCTAAAGCCATCGTCGAATGTGAAGAATGGTGAGTGGCTCTACAATATAGACAAAGGGATAAGGTTCCTTATGTTCTCATGTTTTATGTTCCTCAGCTCTGCTCACAATGAACGCCAAGTACCGGAGCATACTGTTCGAGTCGAAGCGCCTCAATGGCAGCGGCCTACTGCAGAAGGCGAATGCATTTAACATAACAGCCGACAAGATACTATACGACTATGCGCTGGATATGGTAAGCAAATGGCTGCCACCACATAACATATACATATATTCTTTTTTATTATTCTGTTATTCTATTCTGCTTTTGCAGTGCCAAGCAGCTGCCTTGGATGAGCTACTGAAGAACACCAAGAACTGCTTTGAGCGCTACAATACCGCGCACATTCTGTTGCATTCGCTGGTGCAGAAGTGCAATCATCCACAGGACAAAATGCTATTGAATAAATGTACGAAGCGCAATGATTGCACCACAAACTTAGAAACTCTAACTAATATTTGTTTTGTCATCTTTCTATTTCTCTCTCTCTCTCTCTCTCTGACAGATCGCGATGCCGTTGAGAAGCGTTTGAGCATATTGCAACAGCATGGCTACATCTATGTGACCGATGAAAATGCCTAGGCGTGTGTGGCACATAATAATGGCAATCATTATCAACATTTCCTTAAGTTATTCAACCAGCCCCCGGCCCACCCACACCACCCCCATTCTTTTGCAACATGTGATTCAAAACAAAAACTACTATAATTTAAATAGCCCCCTTGAAAACACACACAGCTTTTGGAGTTATTGGTCCCCCCACTCACCCCTCAGCAGTTGTCGAATGTAAATATTATTCTCAGCAAAGCATATTATGTAGTTTTTGTTTTTCTGTATAATTTCCCACGCCCCCCCCCCCATAATTGTTAAAGCTTACAAAATGAGTGGAGTGCAGTGCGTGCAGAATGTAACATGAATAAGGGCAGGAAAAGAGTCCAGCTAGTTCTAAGAGTAAACATTTATTGATATACATAAATATATACAGAATACACATGGCATATACATACGTGTATGTACAACAAACGAAAGCTAATACAAGCAGCGTAACAGTAGCGTAACATACTCCGTAGTGTGGGGGGCAAAATGCCAGCCAAAAACTGAGTTTAAGCCTAAAAACCTAAAAACCCAATCCATACATACATGCATACATTACATTACATATATCATGTGCTGGAATATTCCTCCTTCCCAGCCCCGTAGCTACTATATACAGTGTACTATATTTTCTTATTTAACAATCTAATGCTTATTCCCCGTACTATTATTACGAGCATACATAAAATATTTATGGCTGCAGCTGCACTACACAAAAACAACAACAAATATATTTACAAAAAAAAAATGTGCTACGTTCATAGTTTTTAGTTAGGTATGTATCTTTTTTCTAAAAAACCACAACACAACACAACCCAACCCAACCCTTAAAACATATTTAATTTTTAATGACAAAAAGAACTTTTTAAGTTTTTCTAAAAAAAAAAAAAAAAAAAAGAAGCCCACAAATCTTTCGATAAAAAAAAAATCTATATATATAAAATGTATGTATATGATACGAGTACATATGTACATAGTATATATACACAAGCGAAACAAACATTCACGAGTGTATAAAAGGTACAACAAATAAAGATCAGATTTGAACTAATAATAAAAAATACTACGAAAATAAAACATATATAATATGCGCCTCTCCCTCACTCTCTCTCTCTCTCTCTGGGGAATAGCCAGCCTTCAATCAGATCCATGGATATTTAACGAATGGGGATACATTTAGGGGATGATTTAAAAAGAACTAAAAATTGCGAACTTAAAACGAAAGTACAGCACAATCAAATGTGCCACAGCGTGCTATAATTCGATCCCTCATGGAATCTTTAAATAAGTGGTATTTAGAGATTTCCAGAGAGATATGAGAACCTGTAGAGAACCTACATATTTTTCGGGAGACTTTGCAGTCTATAGTTTTCTGTGTGGCATTCCTGAATTAGTCGTCTTTTATGAACTTAAAAAAATGCTATAAAATGTATTTAACCTTAAATTTTAACATAGACGAAGAGAACGTGTCGTCCGAGACCGAGTCGTGCACATCCAAGCGAGCGAGGTATGTGATTACAGCAGCTTACAACCCCAGCACTGGGATCAAGGAATTCGGCCCCTGGCCAATCCAATCTGGCCATAAGGTGAGCAATCACTGGGCATCGATGTGGGATAATAGCCGGGCATAATAGCCTGCCTCATATTCCTGGTGGCCGCTGCTGCAGTGGTGCGGCGCTTGGGAATGGCGCAGCTGAGGCTATAGCTCATACCTGCGGGCCCACCACCCATTTTCCTATCATTTTTCTTCTTTGCTTTGGGTGTCGCTGCTGCTGTTGCTCCTGCTGCTGCTGCAGGTTCCTTGGGCTGCGGTTTCTCGGGTATCTTCTCCAGCGGATCCTTCGGACAGCAGTTTTGGCAGCCATTGCAGTAGTTGGGGTACCAGTAGTAGCAGCCAGTGTATGGATTGTAGTAGTAGTAGTACGGCCAGTAGCACGACTGACAGCAGCCATTGCAGCAGGCGTTGCAGCAACTGGGGCCTTTGGCTGGTTCGCACTGGTACGCGGTCGGGTATTCCTTTGGGTTCTTTTTGGATGTTCCTCCCACAGTCTGCGTGGAGTCGTCCGCCCTGTGGAGAGTCCATCGTGTAAGAGATTAAACTTAAGCTATAATGTTCGAAAGGATTACTCACTGAACCTGGCAGCTGGTATTGCAGGTGAAGGAGCGCATAGAGGGTTGCGGCGGTGGACAGGCGGCGGCTACAGGAGTGCATTCGGTGGCCGCATTCGGATCATTTGAATTCGATGTCACTGGCGATATTGCATCAGGTGAAGCTACAGGTGAACTTCTTACAGATCCTTTCGATTTGGTAGCGTCTAAGCTTGCAGCCTTTTTACCAGCTGCATCGCCGGTGGATAGTCTACGTTTGGGTGACGATTTCTTTCCCTTCTTGGTATCGCCCTCATCCGTCCGGTTGGCCATGTCAAGGTCGATGGGCAGAAGGAGAGCGCAGTTCTGCAGACCATTCGCGGGACAAGACAATTGCAGCGACTTGAGGAAACTGCATAGGGACATTGAACAGATTAGTGCATCGATCTCGGACCTTGGGCTATTGTTTTGGCACTGAAAACATTTCACTATGTGTGTGTGGGCAGAGCTATAGCTACTATTGCTAGAGCTAGAGCTCCTGTTTGAGTTTAATTCTGACGTGAAACTCACCGCTGTATAGCGTCCATGCCCAGATTCGATTGAACACAGTATTCCCCGATCTTGTGCTGCGCCGGACATGTGCACACGTCTCTCCCCGTACAGGGATCAAACTGCTGCGGCTCACGTTCGCTGGGCATGCCCGCTGCTTGGTCTGTTGGATAACCGGGCGGAGCGGCAGCCCCATATCCAGGTGGAGGTGCATAGCCCGGTGGAATGCCAGCATATTCTTGGCCACTTGCAAACCCAGGCTGCGGATACGGTGCTGTTACGGGTGGTCCGTACAAATATGGTGCTTGGGGCCCTCCTTGTCCATAAGTCCCATATCCCAGCATCGCTTGTTGGTCATATGCTGCTGCTGGCACACCTTGTGGACCATAACCGGCCATGCCTTGTGGCCCTTGCCCTTCTGGAGCTTGCGGTGGTTGAGGCGGATAACCGAGTGGCATGGATGCTGGATTTTGGTAGCGTATATTTGGTGCTGGAGCGCCGTATGGTTCTATTGCATATGCAGGTACTGTAACTTGTGCCCCTAGCATAGGATGTCCTCCTTGTTGACCGTAAGGTGCCCCAAACTGACTGCCAGGTGCCATTCCGTACATGCCAGGAGGCATACCCTGAGTGCCAGGAGGCATACCCATACCCTGAGTGCTAGGATGCATACTCTGAGTGCTAGGATGCATACCCTGACTGCTAGGATGCATACCCTGAGAGCTGGGATGCATTCGCTGGATGCAGTCGCTGAGTGCTAGGATGCAGTCGCTGCTCAAGTAATCCGCCTTCAGTCGGACCGACAGCCGAAGCTTTTGCAGCCTTACCATTAACAGCTCCATCAACAGGCACACTACTCGTCGCTCCATTTCCAGCCCCAGTCTTCTTTTTACCCGATTTCTTTGCTTCGATATCCGCAGTCGTCTGTTTACCTTTTCTCTGCTGTCCATTAGCATTAGCATTAGCTGCCCGTCCTGTCTGTCTATTGCCGTCACCCTCCGATTCTCTACCCCTTCTGCTTGGTCGATTAGATAGGGCAGATGCCCTATCATTCTGCAGATTTCCGTCCCCAGTCGACTGTGTGCCGCCCCTTCTGTTTGATCCAGTCTGTTTTCGACCGTCTTCAGTCTGTTTTCGACCGTCTCCAGTCTTTTTTTTACCGTCTCCAGTCTGTTTTTGAGCGTCTCCAGTCTTTTTTTTACCGTCTCCAGTCTGTTTTTGAGCGTCTCCAGTCTTTTTTTTACCGTCTCCAGTCTGTTTTTGAGCGTCCCCCGTCTTTTGTTTGCCCTTCTTCTTTGCTCCCGGCTTGCCAGTCTGTTTGCCCCTTCCCTTTGCTCCTTGTGCGCGTCCTCCTTGTTCGTCCGTATCTTCGTCATCCTTCTGGGCTTGAGTATTGGACTGGTTGCACAGATAGCTTGGCATACTTATGTCCGAGAACTTGGCAAACTCCTCCGGAAATTGCACCGTATGGTCCTGGCAAGTAGTTACGCGGCAACATTGCGGGCAATAGCGCGGTTGCAACGGATCTCTGGAAAAAATAAATATAACGGAGCATGACACCGTTAAATATAACCCACATTGAATCTATACTTACCCTCTATACAGCACCTTGCAGCTCTGGCAGCTCAGCACAACATACTGAGAACTGGGATTCGCTGGGCATGTGGACATTTTGAAAAGACAATTACGACTCTTAGCGCCTGCTACTATGTATATCCGTAATCTCCAGGTATTGAGACTACCGTTTCAACAAAACTCATTGCCCTGGCTAAGGGGGGGCTACACCAAAAAAAATCATCTATGATAAAATGACAGAGTTCAAAAATGTTGTTGATCATTACCACTATCGCCATCATTACTAAGTCTAGCGGGCGTTGAGTTCGAGTTGTGAGCAGCAGCAGCTGGGGCGGATCTCCATTTACTCTCCGTCCTCAACCAACAGGTATCCATTAAGGTGCTTCGGCAGCAACCAAACATGCACATGCTGCACTGAATATCAAACTGATTTAGATATTTGCGCTGAGTCATGAGCTTTTAGCTATTTCTCGCTCGCTCTGCCCTCTGTGTGAGCAAAGCTGCTTGCAAAAAGCTGCAGCGTGTGAACAAAGCCTGGCAGCCTCACAGACATATAAAAGCTTCTCGTGCAGCGCGCTGCATCGTCTAGCAGAGTTACAAAACTTCCATTGAGTCTCTCTTTTGCTCCTTCGGCTGAAGAAGAGAGAAGCTGTGCATAAACAAATGCTAATTTCCAATACGCATGCAGTTAGAATGAGGAGCAGGAAATCGGAGAGCATGGAATGAGAGAGCGACTAGGAATGTGGACGAAAAGGAGAGCATTGGCATTGGAACGAGCAGTGAGTCACGTACGCATCGCTAACGCTCTCCTGCGCACACTCTCATTTTTTCAACCGGACCAAGCGCGCGTTCTCAAGTCAGCTCCGTGTTTCGGGTCGTAAAATCGCGAAAAATGGAGTTGAATCCTGCGGTTTGAATGTCGCGCTGCTAAGCCGGGAAGTGTACAAGCGAATAAACATTAAATATGTCCCAAAAGTGTGGTTTAAGTGCGAGTGAAATTGAGGTGCTAAAGTGCGGCGGAGTAAAGCGCGGCAAATTGAAATGACAGGTTGAAAGCAGAGTAAAATCTACGGAAATATGTGCAAGTGAAGTGATGGCAATTATTTTTACCTTAGGCGCATTTTAAAATCTACCATGGGCCGCATTATGCGGGAGTTGTATTGCCACTCCAGTTTTACATAATACTTTGCACATAGCCAAGCCTGATGCTTATCTCCCCTTTTCGAAAGCTATCAACTACATATATCAAATATAAAATAAAATTCGTCGTATGGTGTCGCAAAACTTAAATTTGTTTGTGTAAACGGAAGTATTGTAGAATTGGTTGAATGGCCCCCAATAACAATATCTACTACGGTGTCGGCGCAAAAACCTACGGCGCTAGTCCCTATCGCCGAAATGCTGGTCACGAGCGTGGGCGCACCGGGAGGGCCAGTGCAATCGTCTACCCGGAATCGGTGCTCACGAGGGCAAGCACATCCCAGAACCCAACACGCAGCCGGATCGGAATGCAGCTGCTGCGGGAACTGACGCAGACATTGCCCACAAGCCCGTCACAGATCTCCCCCAACACAAACGGGAGTCGCCGTCTGCGCCCCCGTACTTCCAGGGTGGAGCAGCATGGACCGTCGCAGATGGTGTTGAATAGAACGATGCCCCTGCAGTCAAGGACAGCGTTGGGGGGGAGGCCCATGGCCGCGGGTATACCCGTCAGAGAGGTGTCCGTCAAGGAGAGTTCAAGGAGGGTGAGGATTAAGAACCAAGACAAAGAGTCGCAGGGGAGCAACTCCATCTCCATGAGCAACATTAGTCCCATGCGCAAAGCCTCGTCTATGGCCCAGAGTACCCTAGCGCCTGTCATCATGGTAGCCGCCCTGGAAGAGCCGGAGCAGGAAGAGCCAGAGCCGGATAATGAGGACACAGTACAACAGGACGGGGAGCAGGCTGACGAACTTAACGATGGAAACGAGTCGGTGGTGTCTGCTCCACAGGCAGATCAGGCCGATGAAGAGGAGTCCATCGCCCAGCCCATCGATGAGGATAAAGAACCGTCCGTTGCCTCTTATCCACAGGCGGAGGAAGAAAACCCGCCCGCAGGCGCTGAAGAAAAGCCTGGAAAAACTGCCGAGTGCCAGCAGTTACCGAAGATCTTTCCCTGCTTCCGTGGGGAGTATCCCACGCGCAATCGGGCTGCCCCTTATCAGTGGTTCGAGCAAACCGGATTCAAAGCACCTGGCCCAGGCACTGGCGCTAGCCCTGGCCCCGGCCCTGGCCCCGACCCATGCCCTTGCACTGGCAACGAACTGGACGAGGGCGGGCAGATGCCAGGCGAGGAAAATATTCTGACCACCTGCGAGGTGACCGAGGAGCATTTTATGAGGTAGGTGCCCTTGATGAAGCCACAAATTGTCCTCTATTTGCTTTCTTCCCCCCTGCCACAGCATCGGTTGCGATTGTGATGATAAGGCTTTGTGGTCGTCGGGGCAGGAGGCTCCCCATTTTATGGGTGGCCTGTTGGGATCGGGCCAGGGACAGACGGCGTTCAGGAACATGGCACCACAGCAACAGGGGCGACCGACATGTAGAGAGCAGCAGGCACGGTCTATGCCCCAGTACCAGTCAGCTGTTGTGCAGCAGCAACAGCAGGCGCCAATGTTCCGAAGCTATCCCAATCAGAACCCGAGCAGCTGTGGCCTGACCGAAATGCTTGCCCAGCAGCTCCACCAGCAGATGCTGGAGGCCCAGGCCCAGATAGCACAGGTACAGCAGCAGCTGAACAACGCCTGCGGCTCCACCCAGCCACAGCAGACAAATCTGGCCGATCAGAGTTGCAACGAAGAGCCATATTGGATGTGTGAGGATTTGGGAGAGGATGTGGGTTGCGATGAATCGAATTACACCACGGAGCAGTCTATGAGCGCCTCATGCTCTGGCAAGTGTCAAGAGCCTCAGCAGCAGCAGCAGCAGGAGGCGTTACAGGAGAAAGGATCCTGTATGTTGCTGCCCTCCCGTTCGTGTCCGCCGCCAGCACAGCCGGCACCGAGCTTTGCCGCGGCCGGTCAAGGTGGCCCTGGGAGATTTTGCTACCAACAGCCGCAGCAACAGGAGCAAATTCCTTGCCAACAGCGCCCTCCTTGTCAGCAGCAACAGCAGAAATGTTCCACCGAGCAGTTTCCTTGCCGGCAGCAGCAGCAGCAGACACCGCCCCCTCCCTGCCAGCAACAGCAGTCATCTCCAGCTGCCAGCCAGATGCAGCAGCAACAACTGCTACTGCACATCCTGCAGCAGCAACAAAAGCTGCTACAGCAGCAACAAAAGCAGCAGCAGCAGCAGAAGCCGAAGCAGCAGCTTAATCAGCGGCAAGCCATGATGGGAGCTATATCATTCCAACAACAAAATCTCTCGCAGCATAATATGTGCCCCCAAATGTCGCACTGTTGCTACTGCCAGCGCTGTAAGATGCGATGCATGATGCCGCGACGCTGGCCCTGCTAGCCGTGCTAGACCAGGTCCAATCCAAAAGTTTCTGGGGTAACCTACCATGTACAGATACACAAACAAATCTACAGGGAATCAGGGAATCTGTGCAGGGTATGCTACTACTGCCAACATAGGATTGAAGAGCCATTTCCTACTTAATTTTGCAATTTCTTCCGCTTAAATTGATCCCAAAAAGACCTCACAACAATAAAGTAGAAAAATCGGTTTAGAACTTTATTTATGTATATTTTATATTTAATTTAATTAATAAATCCCCCCCCATACGAGTTTGTTGTCAAACAACAACATCTTTCGGTAGTTTCGGTCCGTATATATTTTCTAAATTCTAAATTTTAGCCCAAAAATTGAACTGCAACGCACTAAGCGAGTGGTGCCAGAACGTGGAACTGATCTCTCCGCAACATATTCTTTAAATTGCAGATTTGTCGATTAAAGCAATAATCAGATTCGCGTCTCCAGCCAGCGATCGTCTGTTTTTATTTTAATCGAGACATTTGTAATTCAATGACCAGATAGATGACGCAGTTAGTGGCCAGCTTGTGTCCGTATGCACTTCAGAAAAAGGTCGACAACAACAACAGACCTGGCACCGTCTTTATGTTTGTGGATAAATCAGGGAATGTCGTTGAGGCAAAGGAGTACGATGAACGCGAATATAACCGCAAGGAAGCCAAGACACCCAACAATCCCGCGATGCGAAAAATTGTCAACCCAGCTAGTAAATCGTACACAACTTCGGTGCAGCAAAGAGCCCTGCAAATAGTGAATGACGCCACGAAGAGAAATAACCCACAAGCAGGAGGAGGCTTGCAAAATGTTTCTGGGCAGAAAATGTCCCCCCCATTTGTAAGCGGAAAATTCCGAATTGCGTCTGGTAATTGTGGCTGTCTCAAGGCTAATGAGCAGCCCCAGAAAGCATCCAGTTTAAGGAAGAGGTCTGTAAGCTATATCTGCCCGGAGCCATCAGCGATAGGTCGCATTAAAAGTAAGGGTCGAACGTCTCAGAAAGACAATGCCGATGAGAAGGCTTTGGTCAAGGCCAAGCCGAAGCGTTCAAAAACAAAACCAAGTCTCCACAGAAAACCATCTGCAAAATACGCGGCGGAGAGCCTGACATCTTCGACAGATAATAATAATAATGATGGCGTTTGGTGAGTGGGAAAACCTAAGGAAACTTAGCGACCCTTATAAATAAATATAAATATAAATAAACCCTCATAGGTTCGAGTGCAATGTGCCCTTTCGTGTCAAGATACCTTTCCCCCTGTGTACGCAAAAATTGTTTGGGATGATGCCACTGCCAGCTGGCATCAATATGAACGGTAGCAGTACCCTCCCGAAGGGCAAAGCCATTGCCGAGGCGAAGCCGGTTGCCCGGGGTGGCGGCCCGCCCTCGTACGCTTCCATGTGCATCACAATGATTCCTGCCGGCAACTCGAATGCTACTCCCGGCCAGTTTACTTCTCCCGGCGAGTCCACCTCCCCCCCAGTGGACCTCCCAGCGGACCCCAAAGAGAAGGCAGCTGGAAAACCCAAGAAGACAACGGAAAAGAAGCTGAAAGGCGTCAAGAAATGTGCCGTATGCGAGACTTGCACCCAAACGGCAAACGGTATGGATGCCAAGGCGCTGGCCAATCCACTGCTATCCTGCCTGGAACAGATCGAAAAGCATTTGTCTGCTGAGAACGAGAATGCCCTGAAGAGGCCTGGAACGCAGAGCCCCAAATGTGAGGGCCGATGCTTTGCCGAGAAGTCGACAAGTGTGGGGAGTGTCGAGGGTACTGCGAGGGATCGTGCAGCTCCGAGTGCTGCTGCAGCACCTAAAAATGGCAAGACAAAAACTCCTTTGATGACGCGCAAGATGAAGCCACCGAATGGTGTCAATCAAAGGAGCCCAAGGAACTCGCAGGACAAATCCAAAAGTAAGGACAAGCCGATTGAACCACAGTCTGCGTACACAGGCAAAGCCGATCCAACAAATGTGACGGGCTTGAGGGGAAGAATGGAACCAGCGATGTGCTTTAACAGATATCCGCCCTGTCCCCGGGCTATGATGTACAGACGTATGCAGGCCTGCAATGCGCCCCAAAATATGCCATCACGGATGTTACCGCCACCGCCACCGCCAAGTGGCAAGCTGCAGGCCAGCGAACCCAAGAAGTCTGTATCGGACATCATTACGTCCGACATTCGTTCCTCTCAGAATTATGCATTGAGTAGCGTATCCCAAATGGGAAAAAAAAGTCACACTACAAGCGAGTCAAGCCAAGACGAGGCTGCAAGCAATTCACCGGAGCAAGCTCCGGGTCTAGAAAAGGAAAACTCGCTACTCTCGAGTCTTCCAAAAACCACAAGCGACGATAGCCGGAACTCTGATCGGACTGATAGCCGTTGCTGTACGGTGTGCAGACCAGAAGGCGGCGTCTCAGACACCCAATGGAATGACAAACACTCTGGCCGGAGTGTCCGCAATCAGGATCGTTTCTACAACGATCGCCGCCAGGAGTCGAACAGCAAGTTACAGCAAACCGAAGAGAGACACCAGTTTGATCATTTCAGCTTGCCAGGAAGGGCTCGGAACAGAGACGAATACCCCCACCAAAGGATGATGGGCGTGAAGATGAACAGCTGCCAGGCTAAAGAAAATCGAACAAAACAGCGATCTCAATCGGCACCGTCAACTATCACATACAGATATGAGGGCCAACACAATGGGGAACCAGCTATGGCCCGCCTTCAGTCGAAGAAGATAAATGTGGGTCGTCAGGTGTCGGGCAGTGGTGAGGAAGACGTTTATGCCACGACCATGGCAGCCAATATGGAGATCATAAATCATGAAATGGGGTAAGAGAAAGGCAATGGAGTATTTCATCCAGTACATGGACATATCTTTGCAGTTGCCAGCAACAACAACAGCCTTTGGTGCTGGTGCCCTTTCGCGTGGAAAACAAAAATAGCGGACAAACACTGGCCATATGCAAGGGAAGGGAATGGTAAGTGACCAGCAGGTTGTCTGTCCTGTCCTTGCAATGCTTACAACAACTGCCGAAACGTTTCAGGAGGAAGCTGACCCTGACAAAGATCACCAAAGTCACGCCCCAGCAATTTCGTATAGTTTCGGGCTATTGTAATCGGGCGCCCACTGGCCCCAGTGGTGGGGTCCCAAGAGCTAGTCCCCGCTTTGCTAGAGCTGCGCCCCGAAGAGCTTCGTCGCCAGCTGCCATGCCCGGCCGCCAGTGTCGCCCAATGCAAGGCCATGCTGCGCCCAGGGCTTACCCATCGTCCTGCCTGCGATGTCCCCGCCATACTAATGGGCCGCTCTCGAATCGGAATGCGAGAAACCCCGTTGCATGCAACAGATGTGCCAGAACAGCAGCTATGAAACCCACTGCGCGGAACGTTTGGTGCTGTCAGGCCGTGGGCTGCAGGAACCATTCGACATCCGTCAACTCATTTGCGGCAAATGGGAGCAGACCTGACAACAGGGGATGCCTGCAGGCAGCAGGCAGGAGTAATATTCCGGGCCCAACAGCTGCTGCCCCTGATTGCAGCTCTCAGCGTGGCGTAAACGCATCCATTGACTCCATATCGATAAGCCGTACATATTCGGCTGGACCCAGTTCGAGGTCCAGGACTCCATCGGGCTCGGAACAAACCTTGACGGACCAAAGCCAATTTTCGCGCAATAAAAGGAGCATTGAAACGGTGACGCTGATGCAGCCACGACCACTGCGCAGCAATGAGAGCTTGCAGAACGACAGCTATGACGAGCCGGAAGGGAGAGCTATGGAGGAGCCCCAGCTGGACAGTGCTATGGAAAATCAGTTCCCAACAGGCTTCGGGCCACCGCCGCCGCCGTGCCACTTTCAGTGCCTGCAATATGCAACAGTTCCGCCGTTGCGCAATCAGAACTCGTCCATGGGAGACTTTGCGAGCAGTCAGCAGGAATTTCAGATAGGAGTGGGATACCAATCGCAGCCACAGTCACAGCAACAGCAACATTCCTATGTCTATAGCCAACAGAGCTGCGTGGGCTCTGTGTGCTCAAATGCCACTGGCCTGATAGACCCACGGGATTTTTTACCCACAGTCTCGGCGTCCCTTCGGCCAAACCAAATGCCAATGGGTGTCTATCAGAGCTATCAGCCGGAGCAAACGTATCAGCGAGTGCCATGCCAGCAGCCGACTGACATGTATGGCAGTCAAAACCATTTTTACGGCCCTGAAGACTTAAAGGAGAGCATCCGAATAATGCCCATGGGCTTCTATGAGCAGACAATCAACAAGTACAAGATCAATCCCTTGGATTCGAATTTTAGGCCGCCATCTCTGGGCTCAGACTTCCTGCAGCTGTTGCAGCAGCAGTTGCAGCAGCAAAACCAGCAGCAGCACCAGCAACACCAGCAACACCAACATGAAATGCAATTCAATGCTTGTCCCCATGGGAACCAAAGTCAACAGCAACAGCAGTCTGCCTCGGTCTACGGCTATGGCAATCACCATTGTGTCCATCACAGCAGCAGCAGCAGCCACCGCCACCCGGAAGCTCTGCGTGCTCCTGTTCCTACATAATGCCCCAAAATCCATTCCCACAGCAGCAACAGACACAGCAGGAAACGCAGTTTAAGGACTTCGATCAAACGGAAATATAAAACAAGCAAATAAAAGGCCCTATTTCGGATAAATTGAATGTTTATTTGGTGCTATTGCATGTACAGTTGTTTTGTGGTTAGGTTAGTTCTGATTTGTGATTGGTTGGCCAGGCCATCACCGAGGTGTAGCGGCTGATGCGCCTGGTCAGCAGGCGTGGCATCAAAGAGCTGGCACTGGGCTTCATCAGCATGCAAGTCCTGCCAAAGCGAGCCATATACAGGGATGTGGATTGCTTGCCGCCAATCGTTGTGGTATCATGCCGGACGGCGGCACTGCCAGCCAGTGAACGGGAGGCTTCTTTTGCCGGGATAGCTGTAGACTCCTTGGCAGCCCTGCCGACCGAAGGCTTCAGCTGCTGGTGCTGCTTGGCTTGCGATTGCTGCTGCTGTGAGCTGCTCGGACCAAACATCCTTCGCAGTCCCTCCCGATTCACCGGCGATGAGGATGCGTCACTGGAATCTGGCACCTTGGGACGCTTGATTGTGTAGCCGCGTCGCTGTCGCTGGTTGCCACAGGCAACGTTTTGAGTTTCCTGATGCTGTTGCGGCTTATGCTGCTGCTGCTGCATCTGTGGACTGTTGTAGAATGAGCCACAATGGGGACATGGCTGGTGGTAGGCAGCGTTCATTCGGCAGCAATTGGAGTTCATGCTGACCGTTGTCATTGGTTGACAGAAGCACTGATGCATGCCATGGCCCGGAGCACACGGCGGATACGGATACCAGCCAGCAATGGGATATTGCTGCTGCTGCTGCTGCTGCTGCTGCTGCTCGCTCTCCTGATGGCTGTACAAATGGACCGAACATATGCTGCGCCACCATTGGCATGGCATAAAGATTCGGCTGGCAATAGCTCAGGGAAGGTTGCATTTGCACACTCGCTGCTGCTGCTCCAGCTGGCGGCCTGAGAGGACAGCAATTGTTGCTGCAACTGTGGCAACTGTTGCTGGCGGACCTCAGAGCACAACAGCTGCTGCAGTTGCAACAGCCATGCTCCGGCGCAGCCTGACGGACCGGCGGCTTCAAGGGACAACAATTGCAACAGTTGCCGCTGAGACAACGGATGGCCATGTTGTTCAAATACTGCTGGCAGGGATACATCATGGGATTCACGGACTGCGCCGGCGTTGCGGGCACAAAGCTGATGGTCACATGCGATGGAGTGCTGCCCATCGCCGCCGCCGCCTGCTGCTGCTCCTCCCTTGGCTGATGGGTGTTCGTGGCTGCAGAGGGACGTGGCGCCGTGGCCTCGGGCATCAGTGTGCTGCTGCTGGCCACCTTTGCCTCGCCCTCCAGGCGGCTGGTCTGCAATGGTTGCAGCCCAGCATTTTTCCGACTTTGCACGGTGTTGAAGCGGTTGGGGGTTCGGTGGCCAGAACCACTGCTCTGTGCGAGAGACTCCTTGGGGGACTCCTTGGTAGACTCTTTTGGGGACTCCTTGGGAGGCGACTGCTCTGTTGGCGGCTCAATCTTAATCTGCGCGCTCTCCTGCGGTACGCTGCTGACGGGGCTCTGACTTTCTGGGTTCTGTTCGATGCGCTTGCGCACCAGAGCATCCTCGAGGACGACAAAAGAAGGCTTGCTCCTTAGCTCCTGACCGTTGTAGACCTTCACGAAGCGGGAAAGCCCTCCCGGTCTGCCAGTCTTGTTGCATGCAACGTCTGAAGCCGCCTGCAGCGAGTCGAATGCCTCTGGGTCGTGCTTGATGAGGGCTATGCTGATGCGTTGCTTGTTAATTGGCGGAACCTGAACCATATCCGCATTGGTTTTGGCCTCCGCCGAGCAGATGCCACTGCAAATCCTGTCTTGGCGCTGCTCCGGTGCCTGTGTCCTAGCCCCGGCCCGGCCCCGGCTTCCTTCGGACTGATCTCCAGCTGACCCTGGCTGTTCAGGGCGATCACAAAACTGCATTTGCCCGCCTTTTCATCGGTTATGTCTATCACCCCGGAAGTAACAGCTGACTTTGCACCATCTTGCGGCGCCATCTTCCCAAAGCTGCAAATTTTTATTTGTTCCGGAAAAAGCTGGAGAGGAGAGGAAAAGGGGAAGTTTCTTGTTACAATTTTTACATTTACAACATTTCAATTTTGATGTGATTTGTGTTCAGGCTATCTGGAAACGAATACTCAGCGAAACGAATTTATATGAGCTACGGGTTGACAGGAAAATCAAAATCAAATCAGAGATACAAAATAAGAGTGCCCCCAAAGGTTGGGTTGGGTTAGCTTAACCCGGACTCGGCCGTCAAGGGGCCACGCATAGGCCAATATTCGGATGGCCCTTGGTTATCCGGATGGGGTGTAAAGTGCCTCAAATGTATGCAACGAAAAAAGGTCGGACATTTTTCCGATTTTATATAAATTTTTTTGAATAATATTTTTAAATATTTTAATTTTTAATTAATTTATTTATTTTTTATTTATTTTATATTTATATTAATTTTTTTATATTTTTTTTTAACAGCTGAACCAGGTGAGGTGAGTCTTTCTGTTTTGGTTTACGCTTTATTCTATGTTTCAAACTTTATTTATACAATTTTCTATATGTTGTATATTTTTTTAAATTTATATTTTGTATATCCTCTCTTGAAACTGAGAACCTCTACTTTTTCCGCTACTGCTGATGCAATCTCTCCCTCTCTGGTATTTCATTCGCCCCCAATTGGCCCGAATTCCTGCACCGCAGCCTTAACTGTGGAAGGATCCTAGACAGGCATTGTCAGATAGAAACTTCAAGCCAGAGTAAAAAACACGAGCGAAATTATTGCTTTCTTTTTATTTTATTTTATGCTTAAAGTTAAAACAAACAAACAAACAAAGCTAGAGGGAAGGAAAGTAATCGTGTAATACTCGTATGGGTACTTACTTTATTTATTTATAAATATATTACTAAATTCGTATGTATTTTTGTGTTTATTCTATTGTTTATTCCTATATTAATGCTATAATCACAATCTATTCAGCTTAAAATTATATTATCACTTATTGGTTCGCATATGCTCATTCAGATAGCTCGAGACGAAATTTGTGATAAATGTAGAAGTGGTTGCCCTTGCCGATCCATGCTCCGGATCGGGTGCTCTCTGCTGCTGACTTCTTGCGGGTGGGGATGGTGTGTAGATGGGTTGAAAATGGTAGGCGGCGGGAAACGTGGAGGAGGAGACTGCAGCTGTTGGATAGTGAATTTCCACGGACGGAGCCGGATACGGTGTGGCCCTACGTTCGTTGATTTCACGCCGCAGTTCAGCCTCTTGGGCCTTGGTCATTCTTTTGTGGACAGTCCCGGCGCTGGAGCTCGCAGCCTTTTTTTTTAGAGCAGGTGGTGGCATGAGTTTCGTGTGAAATTCACTGCCTGTAGCGGCAGATGCAACATTCAGTGCAGAAGGTTGCCCGTACGTGGAGTAGGAGGAGGATGGCGGATATACGTAGGGGGGCCGCTCAAACATGGCCGGTGGGTGGTGTTGCTTTGTTGCCTTTCTTTGCGACTCCGCTACTGCCGCTACCTGCCTTTGTGGATAATGCGGCAGAATGTGCTGCTGTTGCTGCTGTGGCTGCTGCTGCTGATGGATTGGGTGTTGCAAGAGCAATTGTTGCTGATGCTGCCTCCAGGCTAACTGCCGCTGCTGGTCGCGTATGCGCGTATCCAAATTATGGAGATCCGCTCGCAGCTGTCGCTGCTGCTTCTCTTTGTCCGCCTTCAGCTTGTCCTCGGCCTTCTTGCTTTGCTTCATCTTGAACTGAAACATTTGCTCATCGTCCGCCCGCTCGCTGAGTATCGCCTTGAGGGTGGTGTAGAAGAAACGCTGCTGCTCCTCCTCCTGCAGCTTGAGGTTCTGCTGCATGGCCTTCAGTTTCTCTAGCTCCCCCATGGACGCGAGTACAGTCTGCTGGCAGACAACTTGCTGTTGATGCTGTTGCGATAATTGCGGAATTATGTGCCGCACTGGCGGCTGTGCAAAGAGACGTTGCTGCGCCTGCGCCTGCGCCTGTGCCAGCTGCAGCTGCTGCTGTTCCGGATAGAAGTCGAGGCTCTGCTGGCTCCACGGATACACCAATGCACTGGGCAGCAGTGATTCAAAGTCCACGTGCTGCTGCTGCCTGAAGTGCTGATTGGCCAGATCCACGCGACTATTGTGGCAGACGCTGCTTGGCTGAAATGTCTCCACACTGGGCAGGACACTATGATGCTGCAATCGCTGACAGAGAATCGAATGTGAATGTCCCTCTGCCGCTTCTGTGGCTGGAAAGGAACTGCTCACGGCAAGGGGTACAGAACAGCAAGAAGCATGTGGCTGGGTGAGAGCATCGACCCTGGGATGTTGTATTTGATGGACGGACTGATATAGCGGCGGGTTAGAGGTGAGCATGGACTCAAGCGGCTCCTCCTCGCTGCTCTGGCTCCAGCAGCGGCTGATGCTGGGTTTGTGGAATTGTTGGCACCTGTTGGGTGCTGGAACTCTCCTCCTGGGCTTCCTCACTCGTAATTACTTGCTGATTGTTTTCTGCTGCGCTGTGATTTGCTTCGGCTTCCGATATGTTCCTCAAATCCTCCAGCAGACCCATCTTTATGTCCAGCAATTCACGGTCTGGATTGTGCCAGCGCAGGTAGGGATATGGCTGCTCCGATGGCCCCCCATTCTCCGACATCAACTGATTGCAGACCTTAATCACGCTGTGGCATTGATCCTGCATTGCTGGTGGGCTCTGTCCTGCCCCTACGCCTTGTTCGGTCGCTTCCGATTTGTAATTTATATCCTCATCATCATCATCATCATCAGTGTCAATGATCACCTGAATATGGATCAGTGGATCATTTGCAGCCCTTTCGGCATCCAAATCGGGCATATGCACGGCTTCCTCCTTCGTGGCGATGGGACTTCCTTCAACTGCCTTCGCTTCCATGCACGTTGCAACTGCGTTGCCATCTCCGATCATCTCCGACTCATCTGGTGGCTCCTTGGAGCTGCCTTGCAGACCCGCCATCTGTCCCTTCTTCATTTGGTTGGCCACGAATCGCGCACGTCCAGTCCCAACGGGAAACTTGAGCATGCGCAGGCAATAGTCCGCGTTTCTCGATAATTTATCGAGGCTATTCACTACCGAGCTGCCTCGCTGCTGCAGCAGATTGCTGCGTGCCAGCTCTTTGGGTATAAATAGGCGTTCTTCCGAAAACACGCTGGCCCTGCGCTTCTTTGTCTCGGCACTAAAATAAAAAAAAAAAATAAACTATGCACACTAAAAGAAAACATAAGCATAAGCATACATCGAAAGAGAATGCCTTTCTTCAAGGACCAGCGGTCTGTTGTCCTTGTTGGCTTTGCCTGAGGCACGCTTCAGGCTCTTCACACCGCACGACTTCTTAATCTTCGGTTCCGTAGGCTTTGGTTCGTCAGGAACTTTCTCAGGTTTTCCCCTAGCGCTTATTGTATACTCCAGTGGCTTTCCATTCAATTTTTGTCTGCTGCTTAAATAAAATAATTCATTAATTAGGTATTATTATTTTCTCAGCTCTTTTGTCCAAGCACCTACCCGTCCTTTGTGGCTTGTACTGGGTCCGCATCCAGCCTACTCATTGGCTGAGTTCTAGAATCGGACACCTGCTCGCACTCCGGTTCGGGCGCGACCATGTCGCGTCTGGAACTGCCACTGCCACTGCCACTGCCAGCCAAGTTTCACTTGCCTTTTGCAGTGGCAAGCAATTAAATATATATTTATTTACGGCTGAGATTTGTTGCCTTTCGTCAATTCGTCCGTGTTGGTGCCAGGCAGAGGGCTCCAAGTCGTTATGTTTGAAATTTGATTGCTTTAATTGAATTCGCAAAATAATGCGCTGTTGGATACTGTACTGTAGAAGCGAATATGAGCTATTAGCTTAGGTGGAGCGGTGATACGAGGAGGGGTGGGACTATAAATAAATAATAAAGATAAAATAGAGCATACTTTCGTGGAATTTTCTTAGGTCTTAGCTACTCCGATATCCGAAGTGAATATTAATTATATTATAATGGAAGTGAAAGGATTTGACAAAAATACACTTGGGGAAAAAATATCTGAAATTTAAATATTATTTTTTATATCAATTTATAGCAACAGATTTTCTCCGAGACTGAAATCCATTTACACATTTTCATTTACACATTTTCACATTATATTTAAAAATAAAAATATTAAAAAATAATATTTTATAAATATATATTTCATATTTAAAATATAAATACATTTGTATGTGTAATATATAAAATAAAGCTTAAAGTGTATATTCTTTTTAATTTTTAAATTCCATTTAATTTCACTGTTTGCATTTAAAAAGCGGAATATTCAGTTTTACCATGTCATTTTTCTCTGAGTGTAGGTAATCTGATGCTGTTTACTGGCTCGGTGATACTCGTATTCCTTTTCATCTGATATCACACTATCCGTCATTTGAATATTGTCAATATTTGTGAACAAAACTCCAGCGCCAAATCTGGAATTATGTGCCGCCTGTCCGCTCGCCCAGGAGACACCCCGCAGACCGAATTATTGTTTTGCTGGCGCGCACAGACTGTGCTCAGATTCGTCCACGTCGCCGGCGAAACACGATGCGCGGTCGGCCCACCCAAGGCCGGCGTAGAGGCCTAACTAACAGGTGTAAAGTTGCACAGCCGAAATGAGAATGAATGCAATTGAAATTCGCTAATAATATTACATGGTCCGAGGGCGATAAAAACAACAGCCATTCCAACTTCGGTCCCCGGCAATTATGGGGTATGCCTCCTCATCCAATGGAAGGGGGCACGGCAATAATAATAACGCACCCACCGGCTCGTTCTCCAATAGATATAGCCGTTCAGATATAAGCGTGCGGACTCGGGACACACACACACCCCACCACTGGCCAGGGGGCCGGGGTTAACCTGGGTTAAGCAGGACGGACAAGCAGACTAAGGACACGTCAGCGCCGGCCTGACCGAGCATGTGACGTGGCCGCTTACAATTCTACATTGTAACCTGTATTAGTATTTTTATACACAAGGTTAGGTCCAATGTAAATGCAATTATCTTACACAGCTATTAATAGTAGCATGGGCAATCGAATGCATGCGCATCTGTAGAACTCTTTTGTTACTATAAAACCCCAACATTATCAAAAGAAACCAATTGGCCTACTTTCATAGACATTTTCTCTATTTGAAAATATTTTGTTTGTTTAATTTAAAATCAACCGCCATCAATATTTGGCTCAGTGCTTTTGAACTAGTTCCAAGAACAATCGGCCATCGTCAACTCCAACAACTCAGGAGTTGGACAGGGAACTAGCAAAATCTTGCACGAATTTTATTGATGAATTGAAAAAAATTATGTGCTGAGGGCTGACTGGGCTAACTAGCTAGTAATATTAAGCCGAATATTAAAAACGAGGAATATCAATGCAGTCGTGACTGTCAGTATATTTACGGTATTTTGTAACAACGATACGGTATATTTTTGAGGGTCAGACGGTATATTTGGTCGATAAATCCGCGGTCACACTGGAGCAGAAAGAAAAACAAAACATTTCCGATTTAATTAAATAAAAAATAAAACCCAAATAATATGGACAAACTAACAACAATAAGTGCGACGCTATTCATGGCCGCCGATGTGTTTGCCATCGTGAGTCTGGCGCTGCCTGATTGGATTATTACGGAGTCGGGCACAGGTGATGCGGAAGTGCAGAGCAGACGTTCGAAATCGCTTGGAAAACATTCTGAAAACCCAATTATGTTTCAGGAGACATACGCCTGGGACTGATGTGGACCTGCATGACGCTCTACAACCGGCCGCAAGTGTGCTACACCCCCGATCTGCAGCCTGAATGGCTGATAGCGTTGGTTTGCATTTTCATGGGCTGCATTTGCATCACAACCACTGTGATCCTGCTGGCCTCCTCCTCGTGCAATCGCAATGTGATACCCTATGCCCGATGGGTGGGCTTTGCGGCCATGGTGCTGTTCTGCATGGCCGCTGTCGTCTTTCCGCTGGGCTTTCACATCGAGGAGATCGGTGGACAGGCGTATCAGCTGCCGAACACCTTCAAGATTGGCATATCCTACATAATGTTTGTGCTGGCACTGTGGATAACCGTGGTGTCCGAACTGTTTGCGGGCAAGGTGTGCTTGCCGCACTTTTAGAGACGAAACGGTATCACTGGGTTCCTGATATTGTTTGCCGTTTGCTCTGTGATTTGTTATACGTTTTGTTTCTGTCTTCTGTTTCTCATACTGAATCTCTAGCCGAGAGCCCACTCCGCGACACACCCAACCGATCCGTCTTCACCCAACTCTTCTAGCTCTTAATTAGTTTTAGTTTGTACGTTTTTATAAGTCCAAATATATTATGTGTATGTATATCTATATTTATTTCCAAAAGTCAGCGCACTCACATTTAAGCTGGGGAACTCACGCACTGCCACTTGCGACGCGTTGATGGAAACTGAAATGCTAGACAGCCGGATCTCCACTTGAAGCACGACTTGAGCGCCGATTAGAAGGGAGTTGCGCCTGCGTTGGGGCCGCCCTCCCATTTGAATGGTGATCGGAGAACGCTGACCAAGCGCTCCTTGACGGAGAAAACAAACAACCGATGTGCTGATATTCGAAGCCAGCCAAAGGGAGAACTTTGCTGACTTAAGCGGTAATTTGCCTAAATTGTTTATAGAATGCTGTTTGTAAAATGAGATCAGAGCGAGATCGAGCGCTGTATATTCCAAGAAGCACTTGAGATGTTTGTTTACAATGGAAACAGATTCATAATTCAAAATTTAATTACAAAAGGGTGTTACGATACACGAAAACGTTAAGCCGCTTCTTATGCAGCTTTCTGTCCACTCAAATCAAATTTTATATCGTTGCATAAAACATTTCTCTATCACATAAACTAGTGGCGAACTAAGATTTGGTTCTGTAATCTACGGAATCATGCGTAGTCTTAAGTCCTTGCGCAAATTAATTCAGTGCTCAAAGATTTGTCTGTAGTTGTTTTTCTGCGTACTTACTTTCCGTTTTGCTGGGATAAAATAATTAAGAAAAGGATCCTTTTTACTGAAGATGATGATATTTTTTGCTTAGGATATTGTTGATGCTTGCGACCTGATTCCACATGTCACTCACATGCCATGTGGCCACTTCAAGACCTTTGAAAATGCATATGAACCATGCACAAAATATCTTGTAAATCTGCGAAAAAACATTAGGAAAATTTCGAAAAAAAAACTCAGAAATATTTTAAGTATTCCATTTATTTACTTATTATTATTCTATGAATGTTCATAGATTCAAGTTATTTTAATAATATCAAATACATATATTTCAATGGATCTACATAGTTTAAGAACAGCTGTTTGTTGGTGTTTTTGCATGTAATATATTTTATCCAGTTTTGGACATATTTTTAGACATAGATAGTTCAGTAGAAGTAGAGAGTTTTTAAGCAGAATTGGGCTTATAGCAGGTTCGGTTTCCATCGGAGGTGTAGTGTATTGTATTTTGTTGGGATATGTTAGGTACTCAAGATGCACTTATTGAGCTCATATTTTCGCTTAAAAATAGTTCACTTTGGTGGCCTTTATCTTAGACATAGAGTATCATTATATTTGGGTGGCTCTGAATAGTTAATAAAAAATAGTTTTAGTAAAAAAATATATATAGAGTTTTAGTTTGAGTTTGTTTCTTTTAAAGAATTTAACTAGTGTTGCTCCAAAGTATATCAACATGGCACATAAATATAAATGTTTAGTTTGTATAGCAGCAAAAAGGGAAAGTAAATACATACATACATATATGTATTTGTAAATGTGTATCAGAGTGCCCTAGTAAATGTACTATGTATACGGATATATTTTGCTATATATTTATTGGGGGATAATTTCTTGGGGCTTCGCGGTTTTGTGCCTATTTGCATTTATTTTGTCTAGCATAATTTTAATTCGAATCGTAATGTATAATTTATTCGCTGTTTAAGTGATCGCTATGCATAAATCGTACGAAATATTTAATAACATTTTAAGTCTATCAACTAACTAAAAACAAATGATTGCTAACAAATACTTAACATGTGTGTGTGTATGTGTGTGGTGTGTGTGTGTGAGCGTTTAAATGCTTGCAAATTTTTTTAAAACTAAAATGAAAAGCTAAACAAATAAATAAGAAGATGCCTTGAAGTGATGCTACGATTACATACATATATCCTTTAAATAGTATCAAAATGATCGGGATGTGGCGATGATTTTACAATTTCCCATCGAATTGTGTCTTTACAAAATATGTGACTAGATTCCCCTTGCCCTTCACATAGGTGAGGCCACGGCATTCGCACTCATAGCCGGCGGCCATCAGTATCTTTGCTGTATTCTCCGTTGTCTGTGTATTAGAATTCGAATTAGATGTTGAAAATGTTGGAAAATTCGTATTGCCATAAAAGAACTCACCTGTAGCCGTCCCATAACGCCGCACGAGTCCATGCGGGAGGCGACATTAACTGTATTGCTCCAAATATCATATTGTGGCTTCTGGGCACCAATCACGCCCGCAATCACCGGGCCATGATTGAGTCCGATGCGGAGACGGAAACGTTGAAACGATTCGCGATTAATCGAATCCAATATGCCCATCAAAGCAATCGCAAACTCAACCAATATGACAACGTTGTGCTCCTCGGTGCGCTTTTCATCCTTTTATATGCGAACGAAACGGATAAAGAGAGACAGAGAGAGAGAGAGAGAGAGACAGAAAGAAAATTGCGTTAGTAGCGATTCGATTTTGTCTGAAAATTGCCCTATCCCCGGAAACCAATTGAGCGTCCCCTTTGGCTCTAGCTAATCCTAATTCCTGCCCAATGGACCCTCATTTGGCGACCCTTTTTTTATTTTATTTTCTCTCTCCTTTGCCCTTTTGGCTGGGGTTCAATGGGATTTGATTTTGCCTTTGTTTGGTAGTTATAAAAATTTAATTAAAGTTCTAAGCTGGCGATTAAAAAAGGCATTGCAACAGTAAATAACATTTGCACAAAAAGGGAATGAAAGGGAATGGAATTTCCAAAGGAATTCTTATTCGATTTAATTGCAAACATTTAAATGGAACGTCAGCGAATGCTGGGTAGTTAATGTTCCCCTTTCTTACCTATGGCACATTGAACATTTTGGACACTAAGCTAACGTTAAGAGGGACAAATACTAGACAAGTTTTGGGGAGACTTACCGCAAAGCTGCGTGACTGGATTAGTCAATCGTGTGAGGAGTGTGTTGGAGTGTTGTGTTATTTACAGAATTAGTAGAAGCATTGAAAAGACATGGATTACACATAAACAGAGACATGAGAGAGATATAGGTACTTACCGTGGCGCCATCTTCCTTGCCTGGCCTCAGACCCGAGGCACACATATAGGTGCTGGCTATAGTTTTGATCTTTTCGATGCCACTGAACTTTGGCTTCAACAATAACTAAAGGGCAATACAAGACAATCAGCTATACGTATACGATTATGGGGAAAGATATATGATAGGTTACCTTATCGAAATCACATATAATTTCGTTGAGGAGGCGCAAACATTCCAGTCCCTGCTTGTTGACATCCGTCTCGTCGTAGAACTCCTTGTAGTTCGGTATGGAGGCAAACATGACGGCCACGCACGAGTAGCTCTCGTGGTAGAGCTCCGTGGAGCGTTCCAAGTGCAGGAAATGCGTTGCCACGTGCGCCGGCAGAATGTTCTCCAACAGAATCTAAAATTACCAAATCGTTTCAATTATCAAAAATTTACTTTTAAATTTGTTGTGGAAAGTGTTGCTTGCCTTGTTGATGCCCCGCATGGTTTCCACCTCCTCCTGTTCGACTTTGAGTTTGGCTTTCCACAGAAAATCCGTGCGTGCCACATACTCGCCCTGCCGGTCCAGAGTGTGCAACACCAATATGACCACCATCAAGAGCAGGAAACCCTTAACCTCCAAGGGTAACCTAAGCGAAAAGAATAAGGAATAAAGGTGTATAAAGATATATATGTATTTAGCTGGGGTCTTACCCATATTCGATGTTCTGTCGATTGTACTGCTCATAGAGATCGCTATATCGCAGCACTGTGACCTGCCCAATCAATGCCACCAGCATGGCAATTAGCTTTAGGATGAAACCCGATCGCAGAAAGGCCGAAATCGCAGCCAGACTGATGGCACAGCAGTACAGAAAGATGGGCGCAATGGGTATGGCATGGGCAATGTCCAGCGGCTGCAGGCTGTCCTCGAACTGAGTGAGATTTGTGAAGTCACTCGTGAAATTGCTGGCAAAAAGGGTGCCGTTTAGGGCCCCCGTGAACAGCTCCTGGGGCAACGTAAAGTTAATCTAAGCAAAGAGAACTTTAATATTCGATTTTAAATATCAACGATGGGCTAGCACTTACCACACTGAATACGGCACAGGACGAGATGAGAATGTTGACAATGATGAACATGGCCAGCCTGAGGTAGCGGCTGCTGGCCACCACTTGGCCCGGACCGTTGCGCTCGGTGGCCGAGGCATGCATATCCGGCACGGACATGTTGCTCAGATAGAGAAAAAGGCCCAAGGACACAAAGCTGGCCAGCAGGGAGCCGAGCAGGGCCAGGTTCCTGCAAACGAAAAAGAGAAGCCACAAAACAGAGTCAAGAAGAAGCTGCTTAATGGCAGTTGATCGCACCACCTACAATTCGATTACAATCAGCTGGACGATGGCCAGCGAGAGGAAGAGGACGAAGGCGCATATCAGGTCGTAGCGGAAGTGCGTATCCGGCTGGGCACGGTACATGGCCTCCCGGGGCGTGTTGCGGTACCACATGGTGAACGGTTTCAGCTCCGTGGGCGGTCCAAAGAAATTAAAATTGAAACATTTACGCTCGGGCGGAAGTAAATTTGATTCAATCATGGCGATGCTCTGTGCGCCCAGGACGAGAGAACGGAAAGGACACATAATAATAATAATAAGTTTGCCTGTCACTAGTAGAGTTCCCTTTACTAGCTCTTTCGTATGCATATGCACCAGTACGAGATAGAATTATTTACGTTACGAGCAAGGAAATTTTCTACAAATTGATTTTTTATTTTTTTTTAATTTAAATTTTGTTATGCCATCCACCAAATTTTTATTTTTTTTTTTATTCAACTCACCGCCAGTCCAATATTTTTCACCAGCTTCGATTCGGCTATATTCGCAAAGGGTCTGTCTGCGCCCCAGCACTCCACATATTTTGTCATCTTCGACGAGGGCCGATTGCGGGTGACATGCCCTAAAGGGTTTAAGGATTTAAATGGGTTAGGCTTCTGATATACTAAAATAACATTTATTTTTCCTGCTCCCCAATACACTAGAAATAATAAAGTAA